TCCCATTAGAGTCACTAATACAGTCTTTTCTGGGAGTCCCTGAGCTCCATCATGCTTTAAGTTCCTCTGGATCACTGCTGCAGACGTTTGGACCCCCACCCCCCCCACCCCCGTTTCCTAGCTGCTTTAACTACGAACATCAATCTTTCCTCCATCTCCTCCATCAGAACAACAGATATCTGGCAGTACAAGAAATGTAAATACTTCTGCTTCTCACTGTTGAAACCCAATCTGTCAGCATAGTTGCATGATCAGTCTGATTATAAGAAAGCTGAATTATTAGAATGAGAAAAAGTAGAGGGACTCTTAACTCATTCAGTGCCAATTATGGATTTTGACAGATCCTTCTTTTTTTCTTTTTTCCCCCAGAGGGCGCTCCTCCCCGACATGCGACAAAGTTTGGGGTCGTACTGAACTCAGAAAAGCCGACAAATACGTCATAACCATGTTACATGTTAAAAACAAGCACTCGCCAGTGAGAAGTGCGCCATCAAGTGCGCCCATTAGTGTTTTTTCTCTATGAGGAGAGTAGGAAAATGCCGAAGTCATTAGCCAAGAGCTAACGGTCTTGGCGCATCCGCTCCTGTGGGCGGGGTGCGACCAACTCTGAATCCAGTGGAGATCCCCGTCATGGACCTTCACATCGTCAGCAGACCATTTTTCCGGTGTGTCGTTGTGCCGCCGGTGCCGGCACTGGTGAGCGAGACAGAACCGGATATCAGCGACAGTCCCGGCGAGGAGGACGTGAGCAGTCGCGGCTTTGGGTTCTCGAGAGCTAATACGACTCCCAGCCATCACGATCGGATCTCGAGAGTGATAAGGAGTGGTGTCAGAGGAGGGAGGACCTTGATGTCGCTGGTAAAGTAGTTTAAAGTGAAATGAAATAGACGATCAGAGTTCTGCTTGAAAGTCTCTCCTTCATAAAAATGTGTTTTTCCCAGGTTTCTTTTTCCAGATCTGCAAAGATGATACGACAACGCTGCATTGAGCAGGCAACAACTAAACACAGGAGTGGGTTAGAGACTATTTTTTTTGCTGGTGAAAGTAGAGATTCACCCCTTTCGTTTGAGATTTGGCACTTAATTATGGTGTAAGCACAAGATATTCTGTGGGTCCTGAAAGATACAGAAATTTCTATTGCGGTCAATGGTGGCACTGGGTGAAAACTGTATGAACCTGGCACTGAATGAGTTAATTATCTGCAGTTTGTCCAGCTCATGCCTTACTGTACAAACAGGCCTCCAGCAGAAAGTATATCAACAGTACATCCTGTTATTAATGAGCAGATGCAGACTTGCTGCAGGCGTTTCTACAAAACAAACAGAAACCCTCGAGTTTAAGACCCTAAAATCAAATCTAATGTTCAGTCCTGTCTTGTGATGTTCCTCTCTGGTACAAAATATCCCAATCTGTGCCCCTCTGGAGGCCCCACATCAAGGAGCCCGTAATAAGAGCACAGCATGTAGCGCGTCGCTCACCTGCACTGCTCCGCCAAAAGGCCAAGAACCTGTTACACAACCTGCTTACTCACCGTGGGTCTTCCTTATTAACTCACAGACACACACACACACACACACACACACACACACACACACACACACACACACACACACACACACACACACACACACACACACACACACACACACACACACACACACACACAGAGGGTCCTTCAAGAAAAGACTGTCTGCAGATCCTATTACACAGTGTGAGTCCGCAAATCCTATAGCTACATAAAATTCCCCCTGCAGTCCTCGGGCCTGTCATGTGTTTCCAAAGTTTTTAATAGTAACACCACAGAGCAGTGAGGAGAGGGGAAACAAAAACCAAATTTTTGAGTCCAGTTTTTAAACAGGTGCCAGGAAGGAAGATTATTATGGTGGGCATGTGAGGCAGAGGTCAGAAGTTGCCATGGTTACGGTAACTGCTGCTCTGCTGGAGAAGGTACATGGAGAATATTGGTGTGTTCTAGTAGTACTTGGAAGTCGGGATTTCTGAGCCCCAAGTCGGAAATTCATCTGGAACACCCCTTGAATTCGGATTTCCGACTCAGAAGATCAGACGACTGAAAGTCAGATGACAACTGCTCACGAAAGATGACAACAACTAACAACAGCTGACAATGGCTAAAAAAAACTGACAATGGCTAACGACAACTGACAACCGCTACAAACAACTAACAATGGCTTTCGACAGATGACAACCACTAACCACAACTAACAACAACTGATAACTGCTAATGACATATGATAACGCTAACGACAGCTGACAACCGCTAACAACAACGGACAACGGCTAACAACAACCAACAACAACTGACAACGGCTAACAACAGATGACAACGGCTAACGATAGCTGACAACCGCTAACAACAACAGACAACGGCTAACAACAACCAACAACAACTGACAACGGCTAACAACAGATGACAACGGCTAACGATAGCTGACAACCGCTAGCAACAACTGACAATCGCTATCAACAACTGACAATGGCTTACGACAGATGACAACAGCTAACGACAGCTGACAACAGCTAACGACAGCTGACAACGGCTAACGACAGCTGACAACAACTAACAACAACTGACAATGGCTAATGACAACTAATGGCTAACTGTGGGCGTCTATCTTGGTTTTCTGACTTGTTTACTGGAACGCCATCAGCTCTGGAGTAACATCATTCCCATTTCCGATATCCGACTTCCGAGGTAACTGGAACGCAGCATTTTAGCGAGATCTAAAGTGCACTAACCGTATCTTTAATTTCTGGCCATTGTTCATATTCAACAAAAACCTCATTAGCCTTAACAAAGGGAACTTGTCATAAAAAGTACTCAGGTAGATGTGATGGTTCAACTTTTAAAAAAAATGCTACAGGCTCGAAAAAGTCTGAACGTGAAAATGACTCTCTGAAGGACACTTCTGAGGTATTTTTAGCAAAAACATTCACTTCATTTTTGGAGGGTTACTGCTCTTTAAATGTTCTACCTTTGATAGAAGTACACTAAACTGAAAGATTAAATTAGAGTTTCAGTATTTTCATGGTCTTCCTTCTGTCTTGTGTGATTTGAACTCAAATTTGTGGTCCTGACTTGATGAAAAGGGACTGAGCAAAATGACACCTGGAAATGCTGAAGACTGGGGATATGGGTCTAGAATAAAGTATCTGGGTCCATCTGAGACCAGAGGGGCTGCAGCAACTAAGCAAAATAATCCAATCCTGCCAGTCCTGAATCATCTCTCAAACAAACATCCTCTCTTGCTTAAACAAGCTCATATTCCAGAGGCTGTCGAGGACTAGCAGACATCTGCTGAGTCTTGTTGATGTCTGGTCTGGAAGTGGGAGAGAGGCCGGTAGCAACAAGCTAGTCCTCATAGCTGTAGAGCTGGGGGGTAATTTTGGATGGCATCTGGTTGCTGCTCATAATGTCAGTAATCTTGTCATGATCTGCTGGAGCGTTCGCAACGGTGTTCAGCTTCAGCCGCTTCGTTCACTTTTGGATTTCCATCAGGGACTCACTGAAGACTCACTTTCCTCACTGATGTTTTCTGAACTCTAAATGAGTGGCTGACATTTTTGCATTTTGTTTTTTTACAGCGTTTCTGTCAGGAGGTAGGGAGGAGGCACTGCAGATGTGTCCTTGATTGTCGTTACATGTGACACTACACTACATCAGGTGAAATGATCCGCTTTTCAGGGCTGATGAAGTTTTAAGTTAGAGCTGCATCAGGTCTGTTTTGTATTTAACGTACGATTATTTAGATCCACAGAACCCCAGTTTGCAGTAATCCATACGACACAAACAACTATTAATAAACTTCATTAAGGGGGGCGAGTAAGGGTTGGACTTTGACCAGGGAGTTGATGTTTCATGGTCAGTGACCTCATGTCTAAAGATAACCGAATATGAAATATCATCAGGAGGAGCGGCAGCATCGGTGTCTTCTTCAGACTTTTACAAATGTTTGAAAAGACAAAATCTGAATTATCCTGAAAATAAAGGCTCAGTTCATGAGATAAAAATATTAAAATCTATTTATAAATAATTTATATATACAGAGGTAATTCATCTTAAGCTTGAGTAAACATTCACAGCCGTTCTGTTTGTATGAATGAGTGAGATAAAAACTTTCAGGGATTAAAAAAATGCTGAAACTAACTCAGTAGATCGTATTACAATCAGTTTTCATAACTGATCCACTGACAGGGGTTAAAGGTTGGTCTGTTCTGTTGGCAGAAGCTTAAACCTGAAGGTGTTTACAACCCAATCATATAAACAAACTGAAAATCCCAAAAGGACTGTTTTCTATTCAACAATACTATCTCCACTCTTGGCGACATTTACAACAAAGGTTGCGTAACGTGTCCCATCTCAGAGATCCTGAGGGGCTCTGTCACTGCTCCCTGTTTTTGGTAAACACTATTCTTCATTATAGAACCGTTTCCATGATAAACATCTTGAAAAATAACACAGGATTTAAGTCACCAGTGAATATAATAAAGGAGGGTTTCCTGGTCTGTTTAAGTGTTTATTAAATCGAATGTTCTGGTTCAAACAGACATAAGCTGGGGTCTTATCTTCACAATACGATCTTAGTCTACCGGGATAATGTGTTTACATGACCCCTATGTAAGATTGCCATTACTATAATGAATACAGGAATATGCATGTTTGCGTGTTCATGTAATCTTTCTTTCTTTGTGTTTACTGCTTAGATAAATCCAAGTTCAGAGATTTTCCAAAGCTGTTTACATTTGGTTCTTATTCTAGTTTTATAATCAACACTTTTTAAAGTTTAGACTCAATACACCCAGGCTGCAGATGTGTTTAATGTGACTTTTTATATTGCAGACTTTGGCAGATATTTTGGATGTATAAAAGTCTGATTCACGGATTTGCACAGATAACCAATTGCATTATGGGATTAATAAGGTTTATCCATCTATTCATCTTACACCACTGACGGTTTTTAAAGACACGGCACAGCAGAAGAAAATTCAAAGTCATAACAGTTTATTTCAAACCCACATTAAACCCAAACATTACTTTTATCCTTTCAGTGTTACAGTATAAACAGAGGACGTCTGAGGTAGAGCTCATCCACCTTCAAGACATTTACCTCCCTCAGTTGATGCAGATATGGAGGGGTTTCTTTTAAATACATTGGCTCTGTTGACTGTCGCTCAATAAGCCCTTCAGTCTTTCCTGGACTCCAGTAATTATTTACACACACAGTTGAAACCATTAACGTCTGAAAGTGCAACTTTTTTCACAAACCAAAAAACAACAACAACCAAGCATGTACTGAACATCCTAAACGCTTCTCACTCTGATGAATCAGGTCTTAAAATACTCAGACCCCTCCTTTCAGGACTGATCAGACCAGTTCTGTTTAACCGGAGAATTATCTGATTCAGCCTGATGGAGCTGTAATCGTCATAAGTGGCCACTTTACTTGAATCTCACCTCTTTTAAAGCAGCCATGTTTGCTTCTAAGAGCCCCACAAAATCAACAAGGCAGGGATTCATTGACATTTTCCCGCCTACAGTCCCCTCTGTACAGTCACACATCTATTCATCTCTCTTTTTATGACATCCTGTTCTAGTTTGGCACTCTGAGCACAGTTTTATTAACTTGTAGCTTGAAATGAATGTAAACAACTGTCATAAATGAACAAATGAATTCATTACTTGTGGTAGATACTGCTGTAAACTCTTCTTTCTACTGAAAACACAATCATCTGATTATGACTTGATAACATTCAGGTTTGTTTATGCAACAGGAGAAGTTGGAGAATCACCCTGTTTGAGCTGGAGGCGGCTTTTATTCCCCTCACAGTCTGTTGTCGTGACTCTTTTCTTACAGCTGACTTTGCCTGCAGGCTCACTGAGAAACACAGCGACCCTCTGAAAGCCTCAGATCTGACACTGTGTGTCTGAAATGCAGAACAGAGTCTCCCTATTGCCCTAAGTACCTGACTCTTGGGAGGGTTATGGCTGTTTGGCAGTAAATCTCATCTTGGTCCCCGGCCTGTGGCCCTCTGGCTCTGGGTAGATGGTCCTGAAGGTCAGGTTTATTCGTGGGCCTCGGTCGTGGTATTCTTTGGCCACTTGATGCTGGTGGAGACAGAGGAGCAGAAAAGTCAAGTCAGCTTTGCTGTAATTCAACCACACATGATGAATAAAACTTCCTTCATTACGAACAAAGTGCTGGAGGAAAATTGTAATAACAGTAAATATTTATAGAATACTAAATGCACTTTGTTGCAAAAGCATACATTGAATTGCAGAATAATATAATAATGGTTTAGTGTGGTGAAAGAAATCAGGTTATGGGCCAGAGGCCAGAATTTCACTATTTGGTACACCTCAGGGTGGCAAAGGTTTATCCTGATTTTTGAAAAGACACATGTCTGTAGATTATATTTTTGTATAATGACCTTTCCAGGTGCCCTGCTAAATATTGGTTATCAGCTCAAATTTGATTTTTTTACACTGGTGTATATCTGGTTTAGGCTCATTATTACTGAATTAGTATTAGTAACAATATCATTACATTTAAACAATTGGTGTGGGGATTTTTGCTATTTTAAGGCTCACAGTAACCCCTTGGCTTTTTGGTCCTTGATATTCCTAGATCCCATAGGGATAAAAGAAACTATATAGTTTAGGTGAACACTGTGGGAAAATGTGTGTAATTTATGGTTTAAAGAGGTCATGTAACCTGTGTTTTTCAGAAAGATACAACAATGGGCTTAAATGAAAGGCTAGAAGGTCCCCTTTACGATGATACCAAACAATATAGAATTTCTTAACAAATAGGAAATTGATAGCCATTTATAGCATTGGGCAATATATCAATAATTACGCTAATTATTACTAAAAGGTACCTTTTACAGCTGGGCAACTGGCAGAAATGGATTCAACACTAAAAAAATCATACAGAATCAATGCATTCTAAGGGTTTTTTCAATTTTCTGTTCTGACTAATATCCCTGATGGGAGATGCCCCCCCACCCTTCGCTGAAGAACCAAGATTCTTGGATCAATAAAGTCTGTCTATCTATCTATCTATCTATCTATCTATCTATCTATCTATCTATCTATCTATCTATCTATCCATCCATCCATCCATCCATTCATCCATCTTCTGAATGTTATGAGTCCCAAGAGTATTGCAGTTTGTAATTCTTCTATCCCTGATGTCCCTGGGTGACATATGGCCAAAAGAAAGTATATCATGTAGGCAAAAATTGCAGGAAAATATGTATTTTTTTGTGATTTAAAGAGCTCTAGTGACTTCCATGTTGGTCTAAGATAAACACATATAGGCTTAAATGAAAGCCACAAGGATCCCCTTTAAAATGATACCAAACAGTATATTGTAAACCTTTGAGAAATGTCCCTGCCGTGAGCCTAAACCAGATATACACCAGTGTAAAAAAATCACATTTATCTTAAGGGGTGGTTAACTTCATGAGCTGATAACCAATATTTAGCGGGGCACCTGGTTATCACACAAAAATATAATCTACAGACATGTGTCTGTAGATTATATTTGCCACCCTGAGGGGTACCAAATATCTGTCGGGCCCATGGACTATTTGGTGAATGTGATGATGCAGATAAATGTCCTCTGTAAAGACGATCGAGGTGACTGATTAAACGTGTACTGCACATGTTTATTTTTCTATGGCTTTAAAGGCAGAGAACAGATTATCTGAAGGAGGTCATTATCGATACCTCTTCGATTAAGTAGCTGTACTGTAGTACAAACTCTGCCCACAGCAGAGAACAGCTCAGCTTCTGTTTTAGTGCTGAATGCAGCTTTTACAAACTGACGCTGTGCTAACCACCAACATCTGCAGATAACACACTGACTTTTTATAACTACCCCAGACAACCTCACCTGAAAGAAAAAAGATCTGATTATTTAAGTATTTAGAGGTTTGTTTTTTTAACAAGACTCTCCCTAATCCGGAAAATACAAGACTGCAGTTCCTAAAGTGTCCACTTGAGGCCGACTGCAAAATCAACAGAAACCCCTTTGACACCCATCGTATAAATGCTCATCTTTACAGCTAAAATAATCATGTTTACAGTTTGGAGAAAGTGGCTCTGGTATGAAAAGCACATCTGTCTCTCTTAAAACTGAGTCGTTTTGAGATGTTAAGGTACAAGTTAAGATAAGATAAGATGTTCCTTTAATAGTCCCACGAGGGGAAACCCAAATTTATAGCAGCATAGTAAAGATACAAATGGAGAAAAAATGAAAAGTTCTGCATAACTAGGACTTTGCATTTCTCATATGGTGACTGCCAGTGTTCAGACTTATGCTTTGGAAATCGATGAATATAAAGGTCTAATTTTTATTCCCTTTACATTAGTGTGAACTTCAAAAATCACATTCAGTTATATATTTGCAATTTAGATAGCTGTGTATTATCCACTTTGGAAACTTTATGTTGCACGAACATCTCATTTAAAATTTACCCACTGATCTAAAGCCTTACTTCAGCTGAAGATACAAAAATAAGAGAAAGATTTAATAACAGCTGAGTAAGTTATTTAAAGGTTAAAAAACTTTTGTTTGATACAAACCATAGACTGTATATAGAATGGACGCCGTCTGCCTCCTCGCTGAGTGAAGCCACTTTAAGAACAGCACCCTCTGGTGACGGGCTGCAGTATAGGTCATAAATCCCACCTCCGCCAGCAAAGCTTATGGGGCTGTGGACCAACTTTAGAAATTTATTACACAGAACATAAATTTTTCTCCCCCCTGCTTGCGATGTTGACATGTAGTTATTGTAAGACAGGTTTGTGCTCAAGTCCTCTTTTTTCTGTGAAGCTCCATTTTTAAAAGTTATTAGGGGGTTCATGTTTGCTATGATTGACACCTGATACAGCCTATGGGCGTTCAGGGATTGAGTAGCTCTCCCGGGGGGTAAGCTGTTTGAGCTGAGCGTCATCAAAGTGACTCTTTGCAACTGCGCGGCCGAATGCGCACAACGCTACTGTACAGCGCTGGTTTCAGGAAATGAAGAAAAATACAGAGAGCTTTTTGGCTTCAAATCCGTATACAGGCAGGAGGCGGAACCAGGTTGTCCATAGTATATACAGTCTATGATACAAACACACAGGTGATATAGAAAAAGAATAATGCACGATGACAGGAGAAAATAAGATAAAACTGTGAGAGAAGTTTCCTCAACATAAGGTGTTTTTGCCTTCCAGTTGACCTCTGACCTTCTGCATAAAGACCAACTGAAGATGTGTCAACATAAAACAAACAATACTTTCTTTGTGAGAATTCTCAGAGGTTTTCAGGAAACTCAAAGTTTAACTTGCATGCAGGCAGGATCACCTTGTTTTTCACCGAAAACACACAAACACACACTCCTCCCTCACCTACATCTGAAAAGGAGGCGAAGGGTTTGCTTCTCCACATCAGTGCCAAAAGAAAGAGGCTGGAACATCAGAAATAACCTGGATCCCTTTTCAAAACAAAGCCCAGGATTGACAGGCTTAGTTAAATATTTAGCGTCTGTTTTTAGAGCTTGCAAACAGAGCGGGGAGGTTTCATTAGGCCGACCTGGACCGCAGTCACCCAGAGAGAAATTAATGGACGGTGTGATCTTTCTCAGGGTAGATCTTAAAAGCAGAGATAAAACTTTTGTTGCGGCGCTCAGTGAGGTGTCACCATAAAACACATGTGACCTTTTTTCTTCGAAGTTAGAGCTACTTTTAAAGTCAGAACTTTTACTTCTTTTTCCACTCAGTCTATTATATTTTCAGTTTCATTTACGTGAGGCAAACTCTGCTCATTCTCAGTGACTGAACAGCTGCTTACTCTGAGAAATATTTTGTTTAATATGAGTGACTCCACTTCTCAGCCTTGGAGGTAACGACTCCACAAAAATCGAAAAATGTGAAAAAGATAAACTCCTCTAAAGGCTGGAAAGATTGAGTTATCATGACATTAGAAACTTTAGTAATGGCACACTGACTCACTGTTGAGAGTGACCCAATTGCTTCTATCAGAAACCAGCCACACACTCACACACACTGACACAAACACAAAGACCTTCCAATCCTTTCATGCACTCATATAAACCTGTCTGCTGCTTCTATTGGAGAACAAATTACTCTCATTATGTTGGAGCTCTGCTGTTTTCTCCATCCTCCTGAACCTGAGTGCTTGAACACAGGTCCGTCCTCTCACGTGTGTTCAGGCGGAAGCACTTATCTACCCACAAACACACACACATGCAGACATGTACAGGCACACAGAAGCAGGGCAGGTGAGTTAGGTCTTCACCTGACCTTCTCCAGCTGAGCTCTCCGGAGCTGGTCTGTTTACTCTTTAGAGTTTACTCTAAATACTGAAGGTTAAATGAGGGGAAATCTGTGTTTTTTGTTTTGATGATAGCTTGGAGCAAAGTCTATTTCTATAACTGCCTGGAGCCGGGATGTCTTTACACTCGAGACAGGAAATTTAGGAAGCAGAGAACAGAGCTGGGAGTCCAACCTGCGACAGTTGTATCATAACTATCTGCATATGAGGCATGTGCTATAACCACCAGGCCAAACAGGTGCGATAAGAGCCAAACAATTGTGCCGTGATTTCTTTTCATAATGTGTGAGTTAAGTTTGAGGCATGAGCTGTGATTTATACTCAAGACTTTCTGGTATAAACAGAGGAAATCTAAGTCATTGCAAGTCATAAAACACAAGGTTCAAGGCACACAGTCGGGCTTAAAGTGCTTAAAGTGTTTGGATGAAAAGTAAAGTATCGTCCAATTCTTGAACAACAAAGGTGTCTCTTAAAATAAAGAAAAAGGAAAAGAAACACCTCAGTCTTTGGCTCGACATGATTCTTATATGCCCCTGTATCCCCCGTTATAACTTTAATTAATTATGAAAGGTTATTTTGTCACCTGCCAGTCATCTTGGGTGGCTCCTGACATCAGCAGCAGCGTCCCATGGCCCAAAGGAACCCGAATCCGCTCCACATATGTGTAGTCTCCATTTTCCTCCTAACACAAAATAAAAGATCAGGAAAAATATACAGCTGTCTATAACACTAACACACTCAGACACACTTAGTATAATGTATATCACATGAAAAAAACAGGCACTTATGCTCTCTCACATCATGAGTCAAGCCTCTTAAGTAATATGTACTTTACAGGCAGCTGTTAAACACAGATGTCTAAACGCTCAGCTTATTCTGAACTCTAAACACCTGACTTCAGCCAGCTCTGCACTTCACTGCTGTTTTTTGGTAGGATTTTCAGATCAGTTCTGCTTTATTAAGTAGCATGGAAGCAGGAGACAGCCTGTTTGACTGGGAGCCAAGTTTAAGCACCAAAAAACAAACTTGTGTAAAACCGCTAAAGGTCAGATAGAGTGTCTGCAGGTTCAGGACGGCTAAAATCAAACACTTTGAGAGACCACTTTAATGAATAAATAGAGCTGGGTTTACAGTCAGCCTTGTGGAAAAATACAAGAAGGAAAGAGCTTAGTCCTAATGCAGCATGTTAGCAAAATGAGACAGCAATGCCAAGAAATCCAGCAGTCAGAGTCTGGGGGTGCTTCAAGAGCTTTCCACCAATATTGCTCACAGTTGGAAACTATCAGAAAACAAATTTTAGTACAATAAACAGCAACTTCAGCTTTTTAATGAAACACATTATCTATTTTCAAACCCCAACCTTTTCAAAATTGGTCTTTTATGTCTCTGTGCTTTGCTTTCCCAAAGTCAAGTCCAATTTTAATGTAGGTTAATGGACCAACTACAAGTTAAAAAGACAAATATTCAGGGTATTTCACACGCAGGAGAGGACTAGCATTACTGCTAAAGGAGAAAAATGTCAAGTTAAGGCTGTCTCATTATTACAGTGTTGACAAAAAACATCATTTAAGACAACAAGTATTGATACAGTGCTAAAATATGCATATGGTTATACCTTGAGCTCATAGCAGTGGGCCTTGACGTTGGTTGCCGGACGCCTCCTAAGCTAGCTGTTAGCCCTCTGAGAAATGACTCAGCACTTTTAAAAACTTGATATTAAAAACATTTTTAACCCAGAAACAACTTTAAAGCTTGTACCTCTTCGGATTACTAATAATCAAAATGATATATATGTATTTTCTAACCGTCATTTTTAACTGTCGTTTTTCGGTTACGTAACTTATGTACCGGAAGTAGCGATCACTTCAGAATAAGAGTATCGTCGCTTTGCAGGAAATAAAGTACACTACACGTAAGACAGTAAAACTATCAAAATAAAAGCCCTTAAATAAAAAGCATCATTTTATTAGATTTGTCTTCTTTCATGAAGTTTTAATACCAAGGCTGGACCTGTGGATAATTCGGAACTTTTAACATCACTATTGATTGATTTATTTATTGATTGATGAAGTTTATCTTGAACATATAAAAAATAAAATAATAAATTAAAAAGTAACAAATACAACAACAAATGATAAAAAGTTATCCATGTTCAAAAGGAGTGGATGACATGTAAAGTAACTGTGTTTATTTGCCAAGTTTATAAAGGTATTGCTTATTGTAGGAGCCATAATGTTGCTTTGCTTATCGGTTATCCTGTGTTCAATTACTTTTGTCTGGTTGCCATTGGTTTCACTGGGTTTGGGTCACGTGGGCACTGTGTTTGAAAGCTTGTAGTTTATATAAGGGGCGGTCTTACCTGCACTGGGGTGGAGAGGTGAGCCTAGGTAGCCGTAATTTTTGTTGACCGCACTATATGATCTTTGTTTGTTATGATACACGTCACAGAGTGCACACATACTCTATCTGATGTGAATCATTGGCGATTGTTGAAGCGTTTTTTCTGTTATTAAAGCTCCGAGAACTTTGATGAACTGTGTGCTTCTTTGGAACAGCAGCAGTGTGTCACACAAATATACAGGACCTAGTCTCTGCCTCAAGCGACTTTTTAAAGGTACTAGGAAAGCTACAATACTTCTCTTGTCGTTTCTCAGTTTGACTAATTGTGCCAATTAATTGTGAAGTTTCCCAAAATTATAGTTTTGTGATATTTTATGGTCACGATAATCATTAGAGTGAAAATCTGGTATAGCAACAGCCCTAATTTGGACACTAAGGTAAACCTCCCTCTCTGTCATCAGCTCACCGGTGGAGGCTGCTTGCGGAGGCTGAACACTCTGGTGTCACCCAGACTGAGGGAGGCGATGATGGGCTTGTCACCCAAAGACGCCTCATCATCGCTGTGCCAGCCGATGCTGTCGTGTCCGTCCCGATAAAGGTTACAGAGCAGTGAGTTGAAGTTGCAGCCGCTAACCCGCTCAATGGCTTCACGGAGGGTAAACAGCAATGGATGCCACTAGAAGGAGGAGAAACACAGACTGTAAATAAATGAAGCAAATATATATATATAAAAGTGATAATATATTTATGTTTGTCCACATGAATATGATTCCCTTGGTGTTATAAGGAGATGTGATTTTTTCTCTTTCCTAACATGAATGTATCCTATGTTGTTTGGAAACCCTATCACTCTGTCTGTGTGTAAGAAAGACCAAACTGCACAGAAACAGCTGCATTTAAAAAATACACACCCACATGTGAGAGTGTGTTACCTGTGTGTTGGGAGCCATTGTGGAGCGAGCGTAGGTATAAGGCAGCTCTCCGTACCAGCAGGTCAGTCTAGGCTCATCGTACGCCTCACCTGAACCAACACCCACAATAAAATATAGAATCTATTAAAAAGGGATTCACTGATGTTTCACTGATATCAGCCCTGTTGACAAACATCAGCTCATCAGCAAATAATGACATATAATCAAAAAAATAGAATGATTTTGAAAAAAATGAATGTAGTCATGAATTCAGTCAGAACTTAAACTTAGCCACAAGATACCACACACCTCAGCTTTCTGCACCATCTTTTCAGAGCCCTGATAGTTATAACAGTGTATATCAGCATATTTAAAAATCAAAAACATAGGAGAAAAAAATAAAAAATATATATATATATATATATATATATACATATATTTTTTTTATATCGTAATTAATATTGTTATCGCAAATGGCCTTGAAATATCGCGATATCATTTTGAGGCTATAACGCCCACCACTACTCTGCTGTACTGTGGTCACTAGCCATGGGTCATTTGTGTTCATCAACTTAAAGCTGGTAAACTAGTTAACATGAGTGCTGATTCAGAGAGAGGTTTTTAATTATGCTGGACAAAATTTGTTTGTTTTTATCTTTTGTTTTTTTTTAGAAGGAAAATGTTGGAAGAAAAATCAATAACATAAAGTTTGAAAATCAAAGAAGAGACCGCCATTAACAACACAATCTCACAGCTGGTTTTAATCAATTTAAAGCGCTTTGAGGTCACTGACAAAAAAGCGCTATAAAAATCTGATGCATTATTATTATTATTATTAGGTACAAGTTTCCATAGTTGAAGAATCCTTAACCTCCTCGCCAAGACAAACCCCACACCAATGTGCAGCTTCTCTCGGTAATCACATCTGTTTAACTTGCATATAGATAATTTAAATTACAAACCGTGTTTCTCTTGTTTATACTCGTTTCAGAGATGATTCTGAGGTGGTGATTTACAGACAGATAAATGTGATATCCTATTACCATTATTTCTGCAGCGAAAAGACATGCTCTCATATTCATCTCTATTTCACACCTGTAATTGGGTCAAGGCAATTTTAACCTGAAAAGAGAGCAGATCGAGCTTGTTTTAGAGCTATCTGAGTGATCAGCGCTGTATATGTGGATGCAGACAGCTGACGCAGATCTATTCTTCATGTATTGTTATCTGCTACGTCACTAGAAACCCATTCTAGCAGCTCCTAAGAAACGGTAAACATCTCAATTCAATTCCTCTCTCCTCAGTCCGTGTGTTTTTCTCTCACAACAACAACCTGCTCTCTCTTCCAAGAACCAATTTTCTGTCATTTGACCGTCCATCTGCTCCAAAACACGGAGAAACCAAAACAAATCGCTCAAGCAGCCTTTGCTTTTTATGGTGTTAAATCACTCAGGGACTCTGGGAGGAATCATTTCAACTATGTGTGGTCATTTATAAGCTGAACTATTTTAGTTAAGATATGCTATCAGAGGAAGTGAACAAATTCTTAACCAGTAGACGGGATCCAATTTGAAGGCTTGAGCACTAAATGGAAAAAGTGAGTCAGAGCGGTTTCACAGCAGGACTGAATAAATGACAAAAAGGATGTAGGAGAGGGGACAGCTGAGGGGTTATGGTCATTTTTTCCCCCCATCTACTTCCTCTTTAAACCCAAACACCACAGCCACTTTGTTGACAAAGTCTGAGGAGTGATGGGCTGAGATTACACAACCCGCAGCTGTGATATTCAGTTGGAAACCATCTTGGTCACTCGTCTTTCTCCTGCTGCTCTTCTGCCACGGCGCTATCGCAGAGTAACACACGAGATGGATGAGAGCCAGCTGACAGAGGCGCTGATTCTGAGGCTGAGTCTGGCTGCAGGTCAACGGGCTCACTGTATATCGTCTGTCTGCGTACAATGTGAGGGATTCTTTCCTCTCACAGGAACATTTCTGGCCTGTGCGAGACGAGAGGAGCTGCAAATTCAGCTGTTGGAAAGTCTTCTTGAGACTTACAGAGGGAAAAGCTGCTTGTTTAAAAGTGACACAACAAAAACTTTGGAAACATCTAAACATATTCTCATGTTAGAATAACAGTCTTGCAGCTGTGGCAGAGGATCGCACTCTCCGAAGGTTCACCATAAAAAAACATTAAACAAGAAAAACAGACCAACAATTACCCATCAGAGAGACAACTGCAGAGGGGAAACCCTGGTCATGCTGTAGGACGCATCACCAGATCACATTTGTCCCCCCTCTCATTCTTACACACCCTGGTACCCACCCTGTCTGTAGTTTGTCTTCTGGGACCAGGGAAGCTCTGCTAGCAGCTTACTGAACATCCAGTCAGCCTCTTCTGAGGGGAGAAACCCGGGCAGCAGCCGCAGTCTGTATGGATGGAAACACAAAACGCACACATTCACTCAGACCAACTCCAAGGTTACGTTTCAGAAAGCAGGTTTAGTTCAAACTCAGAGTCTGTTCATCCTGAAATCAACTGTAAATTTACCGATATCGAAATTTACGACAATAACTGACATCATTTTGCCCGTATCGGTATATTTGGTGTCAAAAAAATAAATAGATTAAAGTTGGTTTTGGATGTGTGTAGGTAGGCTATCGTCTCATGTCCCTTTAAGACGCTGTCCTACGTCAGTGACATGACTCCACCCCAAAGAGGGAAAGACAGGTGAGGAGATGGAGGATGGTTCAAAAGTTGTAGCTGCTGGAGCGGCGGCTGAAGTAGACGACGTTAATGTGGGAGGGGGTGAGCAACTTGTGGAGTAGTTATTGTCCATTTATCATTATCGAGGTGAACCGATCAATATATCGTGATATTGATTTAAGGCCATGTCGCCCAGCCCTAACCCAGAGTTAGGGGTTAGACTTCAGAGTTTGTTGAGCCTCCTTTCTGAAAATGGGCCCACATGTTGTTGTTGTTGGACTGGAGTCAGTGATGAAGCACCTCAGGGATCTTGAAAATCCTCTTTTTTTCTTTACCATCAGCTCTCTCTATCAGTACACTAATTTAATCTAAAATGGTTAAAAGGATGGCAGCAGGTATCATTTAGATTTTAAAACCAACATGCTGATAAGAAGATCAAGTGAAGAGTCTGCAGAGAGGAGAGAAGTGTGACACACTTTCATGGAAGTGTTTGGATATCGGTGCATATTTCACAGAAGATATTTGAAGTGTTGTGCTCAGTTGCTTACACGATAACGTCCAAGAACAGTAAAAAGACCTTAAAAGACTTTAAGATGAGACTTCTTTGTAAACTTCATGTCGCAGTTACATCATGATGTGAAGCCGGTTATAAAACGTTGGTCTGTTGACTTTGGAGAGAAACAGAAATGGACAAATACGGTCACAAAGCTCCTCAGCCATCCACCAACACTGTCCTTCTGAGTAAACTGACCCCTTTAGTGTCATCTAATGATCTCTGTTAAACACACGGATACACCTGAAGATCTAATCCAGCTCAGACTCAGATTCAGGTGCACAAGGAATTATTGAACTGGCAAATAATGTTCCAGTTTTGGAGAAATAACAATCCTCATCAACGCCCACAAAAACAAAAAGTAGCTGCAAATGTTTCAAACCAGATTAATTCAACAATATGCAGAAAGAAATATGGACAATATGGACAGGAAATACTCTGGGTGTCCATCTTCACATACACAGAACATGTTATTTGTTCTGAATCTATTGAAACTGCGGCTCAGCAACAAACAGACCTGCTCATGTGATGACTGCCATCTAGTGGATTTTAAACTCAATCACAGACCAGTCCGCTGCACTAAAACTGCTTTAAGAGAAGAAAGTGTAGCATTTTAACAATCTCCTCTGACTTTTAAATCCAACGTAATATACGGTCAGCTTTCAGAGAGAGTCTAAGTCATCATGACCGATTTTTAAACAAACAGGTTGAATTAGAAACTCTTGAAGTAACTTTGACATCTATAACCTCCTGTTAGAAAAACACGTTTACACAAAAGAATCACAGACTTATAGTCAAGGTGAACGACGAAAAGATAAACAGCGTTGTGTGTCTGAATGAGACTTTAAGTGGTTGTGTGAGGCCGGCTGAATTTGAGCTGACCCGAGAATCTTTCCTTATACCAATCCTCGTTAGTATAGTGGACAGTATCTCCGCCTGTCACGCGGAAGACCGGGGTTCGATTCCCCGACGGGGAGAACAACTTTTCTATATCTTAACTTTATATCTATCTAAAAATGTATCTCTCTATCTATCTATCTAAAGCAATAAATAAAATAAAAAAGTGAGTGTTTGCTCGGTTTTACACTATTTCTGCTGCTCGGATAAAATGTCTATATTTGTTAGTTGTTTTACAGTACTTTGTTTTCTTCTCATTTTTCTGGGTTTCAACCTCACATGTGATTTATTTTGTCTGTTTGTCTTCTCTTTGATAATCTGCTAATAAACTTAAACCTCAAGCATAAAGAAAAATCGGTTTCTCTTGGGGCTTCTAGGAATTGTAGTCTCATTTTCTGAACAAAACGTCCTTGAACGTGATCGGTATTTGATGTTTCAATGCTGTTACAGCCTCCTTAATAAGACGAGCTAAAGCTTGAAAAATAGGAACAAAATATAGTTGGAGGGAGCTTTATAGAAGGAATTAATATACATATACTGCATATATTTATATTACTTTTGGCTGAATGCTTGTAGGTATGAGAGGTGATGTGCAAATAAAGTAAAGCTGAGTTGAACTGGATACATGTTTCTTCCTTGAATGTTCTTTTTTTAACATCTTTATCAATAAATACTTAGACTCGACTCACCTTGACACTCCAGACGGTCCATGACTTATCTCATGGTCACCTTTCTTTCTGTCGAGAGAAAAATGGAGTTTGTTGGCCAATCTGTGCAAAGTGAATTGTTTTATAACAAGGCAAAAAAAAAAAAAAATGAAATAACTCATTGAAATTAATTTAATATTCGTGTCACAATTCAAAACTCAAAGGAAGTCAATCAAATGAGGAGAAAAAGGAAAACCTACTCTATCACCGTCTCTGGAGGAGCTTCTCTGACTGGCTGAAACAGAAAAAAGTTTGTGCCTCATAAAACATTTAAAAAGGGTTAAACAGACAAATTCATTTGTAACTGATTCAGTGTTTTCGAGGATTACGCTCTACCTTGGAGGGCTGGTTGAACTCAAAGGTGTTTTGTGTTTTCTGAGGCCCACATCCCCAAGAAGTGGGAGCTGTCTGGACTCTGTTGTGCTGTTGGTGGTTTGGAGCTGCACCAAAAAAAATTAAACCCAACAAACTTATTTTCATGTACCAATGATGAGTCCTCCTCAGTCAATAAGGAGCATGAGGCGTGGGTCCGAATAATGGACCATGGAGTACCTGCTGGTCCTGAGTGTTTTGGCAGCTGTTTGGCCCAGGAGCCCTGGACCCTGGCGCGCTGACGCTTATCAGACATCCCGTCACATCTGAGGAGTGAAAGAGAAAGGTGAAAGCTTTATTTGAGGACGAAATTAAACTCCACAGGCAAACAACAATAACACTGTGAGCTTTTCAGCAAGGTAGGTAAATGCAAAAGCAAATGACGCCTCATGCATTTTGGATGTTATATTCAGTGGAACTTGGTCTACAAAACAAACTGATGTAAGCAAAGCAAGGTAACACCAATGCTAAATGGGCTTTATGTTCATAAACGTTGTTCAATAAATCGGCAAAAAAAACTAAGAATATAAATTAAATGTATCCGATAACTCATCCGATACCCGATATCCGATAAATCAAGTAATATATTTTTCAGCTCACCAAATTTGCTCCTGTAGCGCACCTCTGCTGCTGCTTTTAGGTGAAGTTTGATAACTGAACTGAAGCTAAAACGTCTGCAGTTTGACAGCCATGCACGGTGTGTCACACGAAAACAAACCCTACCCGGAACTTAAATTTAACAATGGTTCCGAGCCGTTGACGGTCTCTCTCCACTTTAGAGCGCTTTGACCGCAGCTGTAAGTGAGATTCTTGTAGTTAAAACTAAATAAATCTGTGGGTTATTGTGACCCAGATCTAAACACAAAAAATGAATAAATGTATCTACTACTAATAAAAAGATTTTCTTGTTGTTTCAGAGATAATTTCAAGTCAAAGTCAACTTTATTGTCAAATATGCCATACATGTTATAGATAGAGCACAGATGAAATGTCAGTCCTCTCAGACCCACGGTGCATAAGAATAAACTATAAGAATAAAACTATAAAAGTATAAATATAGAATTACCAACTAAGCTAAACAAAAGACTACCTTAAATACTCTCAACTTACAAAATAAAGATAACAATATAAACAGCATAACAGTAGAAACAGTGTAACAGTATAAATATAAGGAAGAACATGAATTTTGCACTTCCTTACAAGTAATAATAAGGTTTTGCACGTTAACATCAAAACTTATAAAAGGTTTGTGCAGTACTGTCCCCCCAAAATTTTTACTTTTGTACATCTTGACCTACACACTCTTAAAATACACAATTATTAATCAGCAACTTATATTATACATTTACTGAAGTTGAAATATAACTTTACACCTATTAAGAGGACTTAATATTTACTGAATACTTCTACTAACAATCCTTTAAACCCATTTTTTCACATTTATTCACATCAAAATTACTTTTATTGTAACACTCACGTGCCGCTCAGCCTTCATATTCTATTTTGAGCAAAGATTTCAATATTTCAACTATTTCTGCAAAATCTCAATCTGTTCGTAGAATAAAAGAGGAAACAATGAAATGCTGTATGCCAGAGTTTTTATTAACAAACCATATAAAACAAAAGTTGCCAGCAGTATAAACGTAAACAGTGCATTTTACATGAAGAAATTCAGAATTTTTCATTTCTAAGCATTTTAAAAGACTCTTTACAGAAAATAATGATTCACAAGGCAGCTTAGTTTAGACACAGGTCAGACCAAGTCATATGGGGTTTTGAGACTGTGCACCAACTCTGTAATGAGGACAAAGTTCTTTATTTTGGATCAAATGTTTCAAAGAGTATAAAGTCACTGAATTTCCAAATACATGTTGAACCACAGCTTATCATTTTAATGATTCTTCCCTCCCAGATAAATCTGCATATATGATAAAGTGAATACACACAGAGAGGGTTAGAAGATTTCCATTTTGATATAAAAATAAAGCAGAAAATGGAGCTGCTGAGAAGTTCTACATAGCACCAACTGAACTAGATCCTCAGTACATCTTCCAACCAGCTACACCCGCTCATTGAATCTGACCACATCCAGCATTGACAGTCTTTCAGTAGAAAGGCACTTCTATTAAACTCGACAGTGGAAAATACATGAAGGTCTTTGGCTTAGAATAAGTGATACATCGGTGCAACAAGAACCCACCACAGAGTATCATCTTAAATATGATGCAAACACACAATACTATGGAAAAATAAAGGTAGAAAGAGCCGACATATGATGAAAACAGATCAGTTCTAGCATTAAACTGAGATGACAAGAATAAGAGGAGTAGCTTTCTTGAGATGGCTTGTTGATTTGTAAACAGGTTGAAAACTAGTCTAAAGGTCTGTCTTTGGCTCAAGTGTTCTAAAATAAATAATAATACATACATATAATAAAAAAAAAAAAAAGATACCCGCCACCGTTTTCCACTGCTTACAACAGCAGGGTTAACAAATCACTTATTTTATGGCTTTAATGTCTCCACCAACAGTGTCAGTGACAAAAAAATATGAATGTCCTTTGCTAAGAGCAGCACTTTATTATCATTTCAGCTCCTGCCTTCTCAGGCTATTTCTGTCCGGATGAATCACATCAGGTCAGAGGTTGCAGTTTTAAACACAAAGTTGTGCACAAACATGGATGCGCACGTTTACTAACAGGCACAAAGGTGAAATCTCAGGCAACCCTGGAGGATCAAACACACAATCTTTCTTTTTCTTTAAACGTTGTAGCAGGTGAGAACAGAGCGGCTGCCCGCAGGTTCATCAGACGTCTTCTTATTCACTTTTTAAACTGGTCCCGTTCTTCTGCTCACGCAGCTTCCTCCGATGGAGGTACCCGGTGCGCTGCAGACGGTTCATTCTGGCTCCGAGGAAGATGACGATGCTGCTCGGCACCAGTTTGGTGGTCACCCAACCCTGTGAGGAAAGAAAACAACAGAAGAGGTTTGAGATTAGTTTGACTTCAGGCCTCAAACTTTAACCCTAAACATTTCCTTCTTATTTCAAACCACTTTTAAAAAGACCTATTTTCATTTTAATTCATATCCAGAGTGTTTGAAATGTACGGCTTTAAGTCAAATGAAGCTCAAACTGTTAGTCTCTACTTCTTTTCATCTTCTTGTGCTTTTTGTGCAACTTAATGTTTGGTTTTATAGTTTTGAAAAGCATTTTTTAATGAGTTTTGATACGTGCAGTTTGAAAAAAAAGAGATCCGGGAAGAAGAGTTTTTAAATCAGTACGCAATGATTTTGCAGCAAGTTTTGCAAAGTGGAAAAAAATATTAATAACTTTATTTATATAGCACCTTTAAAACAGATGTTTACAAAGTGCTTTAACAGAAGAAACAAACAAAGGCAGAAACAGACAAAGGAAAACTGACAGTTAAGGACTGGCGGTTGATGGTTGAGGGCATCACATCAGGAAGGTGAAAAAGAAGGTGGATAGAGGATGGATAAAATGAGGAAGAGAAATAAATACATAGATAATAAAATAACAAGATAAAATAAAAATAATAATGAAAGGGAGGGAGTATATTAAAAACGTAAGAAAAGGTAAAAACGAGGTTAAAAAAAAAGGGAGGTATGCAGCAATAAATTAAATAAATCAATAAATTTATAATTCATGCAAATCATGCAAGAAAGCGCAGTGCTTTGAATCTTTGTATTTTGCAGCAATGTCAAAAGTTCTGTGAAACTTTTGATTAAAAAAACTGAACACAGCCGTGAGTCGTAGAACTGCTTTTAGTTGCACCTGAATATAAGACTCCAAAATCAGCACCTAAATGTTCAAGACTTTTTTCTTGTTCAAGAGACGATTGAAAATAGAACTAGTTGGACTAAATGCACGCCTTATTTTAGCACTTTATAGCGTTTAAGTATTTCTTCTTACCATGACAGCGTGGGGGAAGTAGCCGTTGGTCTGGCTCTGCAGACCCACAGTGGCGAGCTCAGCTGCGACATAACGCTCAGGGGTGGGTTTGTCCAGGGTGGGCTTCCTGATGCGGGTCATTTTGGTGGCCACAAAGAAGGGCAGCACACTCTGCAGGGAGACAGGAAGAAAAACTTGTGGATGAGTTTGAAATAAGAGCATTTAACCTAAACCAGCATGAGCATGAAGTCTGATGTGACTCTGTTTAAAAGGTCACCTGAAGGCGGGGATCAAGACAAAGCTGATTTGTGAATGTGTCTAGAACTCTACTGCATACATCAACACATCCATGAATGTTACCATTTTGCAATACTACATACAAAAACACGCAGGTTTTCTCCAACTGGTTGTGTGTCATCAAACTAGCAAATGTGCAATTTACACCAGCATCTTTACAATCCTGTGTGACACTTCAACTCTAATTCTAACGTGATTCCTGGTTTGTCTGAAGCGTATACCTGATCAGCCACCTTCTTTATTGTCATATGTGGGTGCTGCATTTTTCAACATTCATGCTATTATATATAAACAGAATAAAATGAATAAAGAGACAATCATCCTGCTTTGTTTGTTTGGCTACAACATGTCTGACAAAGATAAAGAAGTTCGGTGAAGATCACTAACGGCACTGAAGACACTAAAACTGATGACAGACATTCAAAAGTTCATTGAACTGGTCTGAACACTTTGAGTTTTCAGATTAAAACCACACTCCGGGTTTGCTGAGGTGAACCTGCTGTGCACACTGCAACCACCAGGTGGCGCATGGTTGACTTTACATGGAGGCTAAAAACAGAACAAACAAGTCTGGTTGGAAGCAACAGTTTTTAAAAACAGCCTCTGCAGAAAAAAAACACAGAGGATTAATAAATGAAGGTGTTTTACTTTATAACCTTTAGGCCGAACAGGCTGAGAGCAACAAGGTGAACCTTTTGGGCTTTTTTAATCAGGAAGTGTCAGTTAAAAGGATCCTGATCTGGTAAATACTTTGTCAAAGAATTTCAGGAAAATTCAGCAATGGCCCGTATGAGAGGCTCAAGGTAAAATGATGCTGTTTCAACTTTTAATGAATGATATTTGGATAATCAAACAGAATTATACTGATCATAACGACAGCAGAATTGAGAGGAGACCAAGACTTCTGCAGAAAACAAACCATGAGAGGAGAGATCCCCAAACTCACCTGAATGATGATACCCTGACGTCTGTACTCCTCCTGCAGACCACGAGAGAAGAAATCCACAAAGGCCTGCAGAGAACCAGCAAAGAAGATGATCAGTACATGTGAAAATAACCTGAAACACACTAAGAGCGAGGGGGGGGGTCTGCACATACCTTTGTGGCAGAGTAGACTGTGAGCAGAGGGACGGGGTACATGCCACTAGCAGAGGAGATGTTGAGGACAACACCTTTGGACCTGAGAGAGAAACACAAAAACATGTAAGGATCTGACAAACGGACACATGTGAGAGTTTTCAGGGAGGCCAGGATCACAATCATCGTGTTTTTGTGGTTCGGTCACGTCACACACATTTCTGTTTCTCATGTAGAGACCCAGCAGAGATCCTCAGTCTAACTGTTGCTGCGGTAACACTTTGACATCACTGGGATTTCCTCCAGATTTTCAGCTCTGATCCAATAACAGAACAGAGGAAGAAAACGTCTCTGACTGATATTTTCTCGCTGCAAATCCTCAAACTTTCAATGATTTTCCAGGCCAGTGGGAACCCTGTGTCTATACACAGTCAGCACACACACACACACACACACACACTAAAACAGTGTGGTAGTGGCCGTGTGTGTTGCCATGGCAGCCTGTTGCTGCAGTGATGTAGTGGAGCGACGCTCCAGCCTCACACGGCATCAAATGTGCCTGCGCTGCTATTGGCGGTGTGGGGTCACATGGGAACGGAGCAGCCAATGGGGTGGGAAGAGCACTTTGTGTGAATTGAAAGCTTGTCAGCATTGCGAACAAAGGAGGAGAGGAAAAGAGATGCAGTGATGGAGAGGATTTCTCATCCCTCTTTTCACTCAGAGTCACCTTTAGGAAGTGAAATCTCCAAAACTAACGACCTGTCTGCGTTTTATTCAGGGATTTAACTCTGTGCAACATCCCCTCATTCACAACAACACTGCAGTCATGTCGCAAAACATGGAAGCCAATCACTGAACTCACCTCTCAGCCATCCTGGGCAGAACCAAACGGGTCATCTAGAAAGGAGCAGAAACACACTCTGTTATCACCAAATATCACAAAAACAACAACAAGAGGCGTCAGGGGGGGGCGCAGAAAGAGTTTAAAAAATAAGTTTAAAAGTAAAGAGAGAGGGTGAGACATGCAGGGAGCGACAAAGAGAGAGAGAGAGAGTTGCGTGGGTGGCGAGTACAGACAGCGTTGGTGTAGTCCACCGTTGCTTTGGGAACAACTGAGACACTGCAGGTACCGTGGTACAAAGAGCAGAAAGAGAAGAAGAGGAGGAGGAGGAGGAGGAGAAGGACAAAAAAAGAGGAGAAAGTGAGGAGGAAGTGAAACTAAAGGATCAAGTTTGCAAACTGAATATTCATGCTGAAGATGATTTCCTCCTGAAAGAGAGAAAAGTCGATGAAGATGGAGAGAAACTCACCTGGCAGACTGAGGTCATGTTGACGTTGATCATGTTTGTGATAAACTGAAACACAGAAAGAATAAAGACTTTAATAAGATCACATGTTCAGAGGATAAAAGAAAAGAAATCTGTTCAAATAAAAACAGGAAATCAGAAACTCACATTGTCCAGATCGGGGATATGAAGGAAATACTCCGGGTAAGGATAAGAGACACCCACATTGTTCACTGTTGGAGACAAAAGAGGAGAATATTCAACTATTTTACTCCAAAACCCTGATCCTGGAGGAATAAACACCAACATGAAGTTCTACCACAAGGTGGCAGCAAAAGCAAACAAGTCAAACAGGCCTTCTTCTCTCCACAGTCGACTCAGCCACACCTTACACCCAGAGTACAATTGGTATCATAAAAAAGGACACAGAGTTCCTAAAATGTTCGACTAAAAAGTACAACGTGAACTCCTGAGCGGAGACGTCCGACATCCGAAACTTTAGAGCGGCTTCAAACGCCAGGAAGTATGAGTCATCCCGTCAGTGTGAAGAAGAGAGACTGTCTGGGAGGATTTCATGTCGACTTTTAAAGACAAATACAAGAGGGGAAAGTTGAAGACAAGACAGGAGAGTTTAGACGCGTAAAAGAAAAGACAGATTTGTCTCGGAGTGACTTTACCAACTGGAAGACGATACGAGACGACAAACTGTCCAAACTCTCACGTCCAACTTTTGTTTCAGTGGCTCTACATTCATCATTTTTAAACTCTCTACAAAGTCGTCCTGTTGCATCCATATCCCTTTAAGGTCAAGGTTATAAAACTGGAGAAATAACTTTCTGACTTCTTCACATGAATATCTGAACTTTTTTACTCCCTGCATTCCCCAAAACAGGTCCACCCAAGAAGAAAGGCAATCCCAGAGGGGGAGATGAGATTTTCACTCTACTTTTAAACACGGAGGAGAGACGTATTCATGCATGCACAAACAGGACTCTTTGTTCATGCAAAGTGTTGAAGTGAGGCGACTTTCTGAAGGAAGTGAGCTGGCACTCAATTGGACCACAGACCCTCCAAGTCCTCAAGTTAAGTCCCTGCTGACTGAGTCGAAGATTAAATGCAAGTATTAGTAGACAGATTTGAGTCTGAACAAACTCTTACCGAGAACCCCGATTTCCAGACCAGCGAGCCCGGCCTCGATCTTGGGGTAGATGTCTGATCTGCCAAAGTCGACTGCGATGGTTTTGGTCTCCACGCCATACTGCTCCGCTGTGGAAAAGAGAAAGAGGCAGATGTTTAACAAGACAGAAGATAAGGAGGATGCAGTCTGAGGCTTCTTCCATGTGTTGCTGCAGGAATCCAAAAAACTGATGAACAAATCGATAAAGAAAAATCTGTGATTATCTTGCAGAGCTGATGACAAAGTTTGGTCCAAAACTAAAACTGTTGATGGTACAAAAAAAACTTATCATGCATGCACATCAACTTTGCTCTTACAGGCTGCAAAAACGTGTCTGCAGCAAAGCAGGTGGAGAGGAACAGCATCAAGTGTGTTTTAGTGGAGCAGAGGGACAGAGTGAGCACAGTTTTATCTCTTTCTGTGGGATGAATTTATGCAAGTTTAGATATTTCACTCTTCTAAAAATACTCTTAAGTTTGACATTCAGCTGTTTTATCACATTAATGGAGTTTAAGTCTTTAAAAGTCGAACTTTGATGCAGCTCAACAGGGAAAAAGTCACTTCGATCATAACCCAGCCCTGGTTTTAACAGTAATTTGCTGTAATGAGACAATTATGACCCTTTAAATCTCATGAAAACACTAAAGTCTGGAGAGTCAGAGTTTCCCAGGCGCTCATGAACGCAGCATTACAGGATTTCAAGAGTCAAAAGTCAGTCAGAGTGATCCTGTTTCAAAGACCTGGATCCATTCAAATGATCAGAGCAGGATGAAAACAGTGTCAGACTCAGACTGAGGAGGGCGCTGTGCACCAACAAACCAGACTAACCAAATCCTCCCCTCCTCCTCCTCCTCCTCTTTCTCTGTTTCTCTCTTTCTTTCTTCTCCCCTCCCTCCTCTACCTCGTCATGTTTGACGCGCCTGCTGCAATTAGAATTTATTGTCCAAAGACTCGTTTAGCTGTTAGGTGGTGGAGGGAGTGAGAGGAAGAGGAAAATTCCTGGGATGTGCCTCGATGAAGGCCAGTGTGTCGGTGAGGATTCAGAGTTGAGACGAGGTTTACATTAAAAAAAAGAAAGAAAAAAAGGGGGAAACCAGCTCAGATCCTCCTTTGAGAGTGAAACGAAATGACAAAAGCAGCAAAGATGGAGGTGAAGAAGAGGGGGATATGAGAGCTGGAGTTGGAGGGGGAGTTTTGGGGTTGTCAGGTCGGTGCAGCTAAAGGTCAAATGAGAGAAATGGAAAGGTTTTGGATAATTCAATCACGGGTGGGACGGGGTGGGTCGTCCTCTAACATGCTAAGGAGGGCGGTTTTTGTCAGACTAATCGTGAGGGAGGAGTGCCAGAGTTTGGCACACCGCACCCTGCTCGTGACTACCCATCAGCCCCCTCTGTGTGGACTCGAAGCACGACAGGGGAAATTGCGCTGTGGGAGACGTCAGAGACAGACGGGAAGAGAGCGAGTCAGGGAGAGGGCAGAAACGGACGACGGAGGGGCAAATCCATCCAGAGACAGACCCCGTCTTTGCTCCTTTTCTATTTGGAGTCTCAGTCTGGGGAGTTTTTTCACAGGTTCAGTCTGAGAGTTTCTTTAAGTCCAAACGCTCAATAAACTCATGAACCTCTGAGTTCTGCATCCCAGGAAAACTCCCTGATTTTAGGCCCGGGAAACCCTGTAGCTGACCAGGTGGGAGGTTGTACGTCAGCGCCTGCCCATACTCACATCCTGATCAGCCCACTCGCTGTGCTCTCAACCCAGAACAGTTTCCATGATGTGGTGGAGATGAACACACAAACACAAACACAAACACACACAGAGACACTTACTCAGTGACCTGGCCACGTCATCCAGCTTCTCCTGAGTACGACTGATCAGCATCATGGCGAAGCCTCGGCGAGCCAGCTGGAGAGGAAACAAAGGTTAGTAACGGACGCCAAAAAAATCCATCAAACTTTAAAAACAATAAATACGTAAATGCTCCTGCAGCTGAACTTAAGTGTAAGCTTGCGTTACGTTTCAACGACAGTGTTAGCTTGGTAATGTTCGGTGTATGTTGCATAGACGAGCGTCTGCACCGTTATTGTTTCTCTTTTCTTATTGGCTACTTTGATCGTTTATATCAAACATGTAAACAGTACCAGGTCCCATACCTAGCCGGGTTGGTCCAACACGACATCAGACCTTGTAAATTTGACCATATTCACATCCTGCATATTTAGCCTTAGTTTTTAACGACAGTCGTCTTCCACTTTTATTTGTTGACATTAAACAGAAGAAGAAATTAAATCATTATGTCATTATTTCTTAATTTTCAGCGTGTTTCTGCAAATATCGCTCTCGACCACTTTGGCGATTTTGGGGTGAATGTTAACTTACATGTCCACGCAAGTTTTTACGATATGCCAAATGAATATTGGTGTTGCATCATAACATCTAAAGTATAATGAGAGAAAGCTAAAATCTCAATTTATAATCTCATCTGCTAATCCTCATTTTTACTCTCTTTTTATCACCTTTCCTGACACTGGAGATCCATTTGACCTCAATCTTTACATTAACGTGCAAAAAAGCATGAGAGCTGCTGTGGTTAGAGTTGTTATCGTCTAAGAGTCGCAGGAGTTTCAAATCTTGGATTCATCCTGTTTCTTTTCTGTTAAATGTTGCTCTACTGTTGCGTGACAAGCAGCTAGCCCCACTGTAGCAGCGCCGGTATGAGTCAAAGGCCCAACATGACTACATTATCCAGCCACACACCCACACAAGGAGAGCCAAACACGTGGCAGGGTAGCCCCCATTCAACGTGTGCCTGTTACCCCGGAACGAGCTCCTGACGACAAACCTGGATTCAAGTGTGTGTGCATGTGTGTGTGAGGACTCTCCTCCACGCTAATAGGCCTGTAAGAGCTCTCCCCTACCAAGGTCTGTCAGTTAACACACCGTGTGAGTGTGTGTGTGTGTGTGAGTGTGCATGAGTCATAGCTTTTTTTTTTTTCCTCCATGAAAGAAATGAAATAAATAAGGGTCCAGGAGCCTCACCTCCTCCGCATAGGATTTCCCGATTCCATCAGTGGCTCCAGTCACAACTGTAGAGAGACAAGAGAAGAAGAAAAAGAGGTTAGGACGGGTTTATGTACACAACTCTGAGACGATGGAGAGGGGCAAGAGTCCAGACTACTGTGCATCAGTCCAACACCTCAATTCATGCATGCAGACGAGGATGTCTAGACACACGGTTCTGGGTTTTCTGTAGGTCCGGCTTTAACCAGACTCCTGGACTCACTGCTTTGACGACCTTTACTTCAACACGCTCGAATTGAACCTGAAAACTCTCCAACACTTTAACACCTGAACTTTCCTGACGATAACATCCAGATTTAGGTGGACTGATGTCATGGTTTATCATCTATCGCCCTGCTCACTCCTCCCCTCTGCTTTACTAACACACAGTTCTGGACTTTCTTTAAGTCCAACTTTGACCAGACTCTTCTCCTGGACTTAGCCTGAGTTCTGAATCAGGTTTGCTCAGAACTGCTTTGCTTGAACATCCAGATTTAGGCTTTTATTATCACGACATATCATCCTGCTCACTCTTTCCCTCTGCTTTACTAACACACACACCTTCCTCCTCCTGCTCCTCTCCCTGCTCTCATCTCTCCACAAAGTTTGCACTGCTGTAGAGACAACATGTTGACAGTAGTGACCCCCCATTTAACACGTTTTTCAGCATCTGCAGCTTCTCTACACACCCAAACTTTGTTGCACCGATCTGCCGTGAGGAAAGGAGGGTCTGATCGCTTTATTCACCACAGACGATGCAGCGCATGCAAAACGGTCACTTCCAGGATCTTGTGTGACCAAAAACTGAAACTGGATCAGTTATGGGAATGTATATCGTCGATGCAACTGGTGACATTTCAATAATAACTCCCTACTCCTTCTTTGCATACCATTTCAAGCTCTCAGATAAGTTTGGGAGTTGCAAAGTTTTGGGTGGAGATCGGGATTGTTATCGACTAAAACATCTAAACTCAGGTGAGTGTAAGTTAAGTGACTTCTAAGTCCCATGACATCAGCGACCTCACCGAGGAGAAACCATGCCGCCCTGACTCAGTCTTTGGCACATCTCTCTGCCCTCACTTCTGCGGTTACTGACGCTTCTTGTGACATAAAACAACAATCTGCGCCTCTTTGAACCGAGCTCCACGACGCACCTTCACATCAGGTTTGTCCGCTTCAGAGCCCCGAGGTGACAGACGGGACAGTTATTTGAAGGTTTTCACGTCAGCAAACCTGTTGGCACTCACACCCTCTAATACTATTCAGGAAAGCCTCTCTCTAAGCTGCGCAATGACAACTTCTTCATCGGTCAGGTATCACTTCCTCTGTTAGAAACACATCCAGCCTCATCATGCACACAAAGGAGAGTGTTCGGAGTGAATCGAGAAGCAAAGATGGTATGGATAGGAGCTGAATCACAAAAGATGAAGCTCCAAAGACAAAAGACAGGGCGGAGATTGTACAAAAAGGCGGAGATAAGATGGCAGAACGAAGATACAAGGACTCACAAAGCCCTCGACACCCACTGATACCTCACCCCTGCCATGAAAAGTGAAATTTAAAAAGATCATTTAAGAGTTTATTTGCACATAAACAAACCTAAAGATGTCTCTGCGGTGCAAATGTGGAGGAAATTTTCAGATTTGAACGCGACAAAAGACGGAGAACACGGGGAAAGGCGAGGACAGAAAGGAGCTGATGTTCTTGTGTTCACAGTTCTCCTCACCTTGTCAAGCAAGCGGGTCTATTTTTAAACCTTCACTGCCCATCAACCCCAGCTCCTCTTTGACTGACGGAGGACAAGGATGGAAGGAGGCAAGGAAGAACAAGACAATAAAGAGGTGGTGTTGGTGTTGAGGAGGGATTGGGGTACTCAAACACACACGCGAATATATTATTAGCGAGGCTTGATGAAAGATTAATAGAGGTAGAGGACATTCTCCGGCAAAGAGCTGGAGAGAGAGAGAGAGCGGGAGAGAAAAAGAGAGACAAGATGAGAGAGAGAGAGAGAGAGAGAGAAGGGGGGATGCAGGGAGGAGGGAGTGATGACGAACATGGAGCCGGAGAAAGGAGGAGGGTGAAGTGGGGTAGGGAGACGGAGAGGAGAGGGGAGGGATGAGGAGGGATCCTAGGGGCGGCTAAAAATAGAACTGGAGCGAAGCAAGAGAGCGAATGAGTGAAGGAGAAAGAGACAGAATAGAGATGGCGGTTGTGGAGGAGGAGGAGGAGGAGGAGGAGGAGGGATGGAGAGGGGGAGTGAATGAGAGAAGAGGAGAGAGAGAGAGAGAGTAGCACAAAGTCAAAAGTGAAAAAGCGAGCAGAATCCCTGGTTATTTTTAAACCCCCCCCCCCCCGTGTTAAGAATGAAACGCTCCGTGGCAGAAAAGCCTCAATGGGCGCGGGTCGTACCAAATCCAGCTCCGGCTGCAGAGGCAGGTGGAGGCAGACAGAGGTGGGGAGAAGAGGGGAGGTGAAGCTGCAGAGTAAAATGGCTGAGGATGAGGAGAGAAGAGACAACAACAACCAACCACCTCGACTCAAATCTGCTTCTTTTAACGCTAAATACTCGAGTTTATAAAGAGATTTATGAGATTTAACGAACAGGCTGAAATATCCTGTTTTCAGGTTTTATCAGAAGTCAAATGTTGAAGTAAAATAAGTAAAAATGAGAAGTTTTTCATCAAAAATACACTTTACAGCCAAAGTTTACTTTTCCAAACTCACTGCTGTATTTATTAACATGGAAGGTGGTTTGACCGTGCACCTATCCGGAGTGAAGTTTCAGAATATTTTGCACCATCTTTTGTTGGTATTGTACTTTGTAGACGGTCCCTGCACCTCAAATGAGAAAAATAAACAAGCAGGATTATGATCTTTTTAGGCTGCGCATCATTTAGTGTCTCTGCAACCCGACTGCAAATTTTTGAGTTATCTTATGCTTCACATTCTCGGGTTGCATCTGAAAGACGTTTTTCAACAGGTGTGCAAAATCCAGATCCATCTGTGTGGTCAGAAAGCTTTCACAGGTAGGAATCTCAGGCTTTGATAAAGGTCTTGCAGCATTGTCTCAGAGTCTCAGCTTATCTTCTCTTTCTGCATGGCTGTTCTTGCAGTTGAAGAATCTGAGTGGTTCAGATCACGAAGCTGCAGCGTGACCTAAGTTGTAGTTTGCTCAGTGATAAGAAGAAGACAGCCTTTTATCGTCTGACACATCTCGCTCCAACAAGCCGAGCGAAGGCCTGAGAGAAGATGAAGAAAACCTCCAACTAGTCTGAAAACAACGACAGGTCACATCAGCTGAACCTGAAAACCAGAAAAGACAAAACCACACGACTAAAATGACAACCGGAGGGGCCTCAGTGCTCCGACCACATTCCTGTCAAGTGGGATTACTAATCCGGTCCACGAAGAGGCAGCTGGGATGATGATGCTGCACACACCTGCATGACTGAGTTTCAGGTGTAAAAAGTGACACCTGTGTGAGAGAGAGCGCACGTACAGCATCATCGTTTCAACCCTGACCTGACGGAGGAGCGTGCAAGAATGTACATACGTACAAAACACAGGAACAGAGTCACCCTTTGAACCTGGACCTGACAGAGAAGAACGCGGGATACGCGTCAGATCGAACATGTGTGCAGGCTGTGCATGCCAGACATGTTCCTAATACCAACAGAGGTGACAGTCTGAGCGCAAACATTAGATTCTTCTTTAATTAAGTTAGGTTAGAAAAAAAAGGCATGATACTGATCAGAGAATGTACAATCCTGAAACTGATTTGATTAAATACATCAGATTTATCGAATAACTGTGGGACATTGTGATGTTTTTGAATCCGCTAACATCTATTCATCCTTCCTCATGATTTTATTCTGTATAAAAGGAAAATATTTCTGTTTTTTTAACTCCTGAAAACCCCAGAATATTCACCTGCTCCATTTCAAACCAACATCTTTCACCTCCAGGGTTCACTGTCTGATGTTTGTGTAGATTAGATGCTGCTGTGAGACAATTTAGACTCGGAGAAAGTGGCTACTAAACATGTTTTACTTCTGATATTTAGCGTACTAAAGGTGAGCAGACGTACCGGTTTGACGTCTCTGGTACTCTGTAGGTCAAATAGTTTAATGTGGTTCTGATGTAAGTCGGTGAGAAAGCCCGAGTGAGAGGATAAAACCGGATTCAACAGCACTGAGAGTGAAAACCAACAACATGTCCACAACCAAAGACATCAGAGTCCTCTTCAGACAGACCACCTGGTGGACCGAACCAGCTGCAGGAGTCTCCTTGAGGATTACTTTAATTAAACTAATCAATTGATGATTAATTAAATCATCCATTGCTCCTAACTGGATCTCCAAAGTCCAGAGAGGAGGCCCAGTCCAGCACACGCAGACGCCCGACCTCGTGTCATGAGGCCGGTTTGTTAGCCTGATAACAGGTGAAGAGGTTGAATGGCCACCTCTTCAAATCTCTCCTTAGCTGTGTGGTTTTCGTAGACCCAGCTACCCTGATCCCTCGCTACCTGATCTGTCCCAGCAGACCCTGAATTGAGACACAGAGTTGCCGAGAGTCGCTGTGATGACGCTCGGCTCAAACAGCGGGAGAGCTACGCAATCCTTGTACATCCATAGGCTGTACCAGGTATCAATCATTGAAAACATGAACCCCCTGATAACTTTTAAAAATGGAGCTGTACAGAAAAAAGAGGACTTGAGCACAAACCAGTCTGACAGTAACTACATGTCAACATCACAAACAGGGGGGAGAAACATTTATATTCTGTGTCATTAATTTATAAAGTTTGTCCACAGCTCCATAGGGATTGCTGGAGGAGGCGGGATTTATGACCTATACTGCAGCCCGTCAGCAGAGGGTGCTGTTCTTGGGTTGGCTTCACCCAGTAATGAAGCAGACGGCGTCTATTCTAAATACAGTCTACGGCCTAAACAGCTAAAAAACAGATTAAAGGCTTTTTCAAAATCAGTCAAAAAATCCTGATTATATTTTTAAAAATGTCTAACACTGTCGTGGTTGGTTCACATTTCAGAATTCAGTCATAGAAATTAAAATAATCTCAAAGATACAAACAGATCTGTTCAGTTTTAAAGGCAGAATTGTATTTATTCCAGATTTGACTGAAATAAACGGTGAAGACGGTTTGAAAACGATCCTCCATCGACTTTGGAAACAGCTCTATAAAGACAAAGACAGAAGTAAACACCGAAAACATCGGAACTTTTGTGATTTTCCACTAAGCGTGTGTCTACCAGCGCCCCCTCCCTTCCTGAAGCCTGCTGCCCCCCCCCTCCCAGACCCACCACCCAAATCCTCGTGCTGTACTTATGAATAACTACACTCCTCCCACTCATTATATAATAGTACCGTTTTCTGAATAAACGTTGTCTTGGGAGTGAGTGAGAGTGAAGTGTGTGTGTGTAACGGGGGAGGATGGTGTGTATGTGTATGTGTGTGTTTGTTTATGTGTGTGTGTGGGGGTGGGGGGGTACAGTGAGATTAGGACACCGAGTTCCTCCTGAATCCTAAAACATTTCCTCTTTGTTTCTGAGTCGCTGTCAGGCATCATGAGTGCAGCAAACACTAAACTGTGAATTCATGTTGCAATAAGAGGACTAAGAGGAGTCTGAACCAAACTGAACCTGCACCGGATTCTGCAGGACCAACAAGAAAACCCGAGCCACCCGGTCCAATACCCCAACATCGACCGAGCAGAACACAGTGTCCAAAAATACTCCTGCTCAAATCTGTCACACAGACTTTTCCTCTCCCAGTGCTCCCAGCAGGATTTAATTCTCCTCACGTCAACGTTGCATTACATCTGTGACACACACACACACACACACACACACACACACACACACGTAATGCAACAGAAAAGGTTCTACGTAAGCACACACGTGACTGACAGCAGCACTACTGACGCTCAAACACACACACACACACACACTCAGAGTGAATGTGTGCGTATTCAGTGATGTGAGGAAACAAATGGAGGTTTGGGAGCAGCTGAGTGTGTGAATTCATGAATGTATTCATGTGTGTGTGTTTGCACAGAGGATGTGTGCACGACTGCCTCTCATTCATTCCCCAGTAACCCCCCCCCCCCATTACATCGCCTGTGAGGAAACTGGTCCACCGTGCCAGCCTGACGGGGGCGCACTGGCACTACATCTCTGCTGTGCTTAACGCTGCACATCACGTCCAGAGGTATTGACATCCCCCAGCCTTTTCTGTCTCCCTCCCTCCCTCCCTCTCTTTCTCTCCCTTCCTCCCTCCCTCCTCAGCAGTGGAGCAGCCCCTGCTGCTGCTGCTGCCTGCTCACTATTCTGAGGGTCTAAAAAAAGCAGCAGGAGGAGTAAAAATAGCAGCGCGCCTGCACTGCCTCGTCTGGGAGCTGCCTGCCTGCCTGCCTGCCTGCCGCAGCACCTGAATACCAACAAGATCCCCCATCACCATCACCACGGCGACCAGCCTGCTGCTGCTGCTGCTGCTGCTGCATCCTCAGCCTCCTTCCACCTGAAGACTTAATGCCAGGGTGAGCAATGCAGGCTGGGAAAAAAACCACAAACATCTGATGTTGGCTTGGTTTGAAAAGATATTTATGTACCGCATAAGAGGGAATATGCATAAAGAGCGGAAGAGTTCTTATATATCTACTGTTTTATTCCATTTTGAGGGACCATGAGAGACATCCTAGTGCCAGATTGTTTCAAAATAAAAGCACAAAAACAAAAAGAACCAAATTAAACATCAATTTTGAGTCTAAAAACGAAGGAGGAAGAAGCTGATCTAGTTGCAGAGAGCTGGCACAGTCCTGACTATCACTTACCTACAGGGGGATTTTTTCTCTTTTTTTAAGAAGATTCAACTTCTTATTCACAAAGAGAGCGAGACACATCTAAAATGAGCTCACCCCCCTCCTCCCCCTCACTCTTCATCACCCCCACCCACCTTCACCAAATCCCCAATTAAGATTCTCAGTGAGGAGAGACTGCGGTCCTTGTATGCCCCGCTCTCGTTACGTACTGTTATGTAATCTGTCGCACCCCAAACTCGCCTATCAACGAGCAGCCCCTCCCACCTCGCAGTGAGGGAGGCAGGGAGGGAGGGATGCAGCACAAGATCCAAAGACAGCTACCCCCCCCTTTCCTCTCCTCTTCTAGACCAAACACACACACACATATATTTATATATCCCCATTCTCCATCCACCCACCTTCCACATTCAAACACACACACACACGCTGCTTTAAATAGCAGGGGAAGAAAGTCACATGGGTAATATAAAAGTCGACAAAAATACAGCTTGATCAGGAGAGGGGAGAGAGGGGGAGAAACGAGGGGAGGGAGAGAGAGAGAGAGAGACAAAGAGACAGAGAAAAAGAGAACATGCACTTCAGAGTCGCCAAAGATAGAAGCAGCATCTATATTTGGGTACAGAGCAAAAAATAGTCCCCCCTCCCTCCTTCTTTCTCCCTCCCTCCTGCAGTCACATGCTTTGTTTAAAAATCAATAGTTTCTTTCAGGACTTGCATGGAGACAAGGTGATTTTTGGAGCAGGAAACAAACTTTCCATATTTGACTTTGTGGCGTTTAAGGACAGGCTGAACTGTGAGGAAGTTTGAGTTTCTATGAAGGAAGGAAAGTTCGACAGAAAAATTACCAGGAAGGAAAAAAAACCTTTTATAATAAAAGTCTAACCCTTAAAAAATAAGAAGAGATATACACTTATTTTTTAAATCTTAATAAACTCAAAGCATCCCAAATGCAACAATGTGCATATTGTTCACCTGATATTTAAGCAAAAGGAGTCTGATCACGTTAAATTATTCAAATTGCAGCTTCACAATAAATCTTATTGCAAAAGAAAGATTTAAACAGCTCTTTGGATTTATTTTAGATTCATAAAAGTTTGATGCTGCAAACACAGATATTTTAAACAGCAGATCTACGTAGAAATCTATACTTGTGCATCAGTTTATTTATGTGATCTAGAACAATATTGAAAAAATAAACGATGTGATCAAGCATTATTATTCTTCTCACGTTGTGCAAGCCTAGTTTAAGCTACAAACTTAATAGAAGTGTTAGAATTCCAACTTTTAAATGATCTTACTTTAATAAATATATTTGATGCTTTTTAAGAAATGATCTGAGCTGAATTAAAGCTCCTGTAAGGAGTTTTAAAGTGGTAAAAAAGCTTAGTGACTTTTTCTTAGTACTATAATAATGGTGTTATTTTTGTATTTTTATATATTGTTTATAAATTTTTTACTCTTAAAAGGGAGGATAATGAAACTCATATGTGCAGGCCAAAATCAGCAGTGATAGCTTTATCCACAGGGGGCACCAAAATCAACACAACCTGAGTGATTGACACAGGAGCTTTAAAACTAAAAGGTTAAATGCGATGCTAGCCTCATAAAACAATGCAAACTGCTTTAAGATCAAACGGTAAATCTGGATTTTACTAAATTTGATTCTTAAAATTTAACCCTGAAAGTAACTAAAAAGCCTCGTCAGCACTCCTGAGCTTTTGTTTATCATATCAGATAAGTCGTGTCACAGAGCAGTTCATAACAAGAACAAGAGTTTTGCAGCTGTACTTTCTTCTCTACACAGATCATTTCAAACATCCTGATATCTGACTTGACAAAACTACAACCTCTCTCTCTTGGACTAAATTCAACCCCACACTCTCTCACGCGCCCTCACCGTCGGTGTTTGTGCAGCAAACTCAGGTGTTGTCTTTAAACTGAACATGACTTCATACATTCTTGGATCCTTGTTTGTCCCTGATTCACTGACGCCAAACTCTTTGAAGACGGTTTCAACAGATACTCACAAGTGACCAAACTGCCTTTCTGGCATGTTGGACTGTAACCACCCAACCAATGAAGGAAGGAGGGAAGGAAGGAAGGTGTCACTGTGCAGAGAGAGCAATAAACTCCCTGTGTCAAATATGCTGGTGGTCCAGTATTGTGTGTTTAAGATGACGCGATTGAGACTGTGACTACATAACTGCACTCAATGACACCTTTAACCCGGCGCAGTGCAAAACAAACACAAATATGCAAACAGATACGCATGTGTGGAGATTTGTGTTTCAAGTATAACAGGGTCATATTAAGATTTGGATTTAGATTAACCCTCTCTAAAAATCAGACACAAATGGGACAAATATAAAGTATAAGTAAATATATATCAGTTTTAGCGCCCCCTTTGGCCAAAGACAGACATCTTAGACTGCGTTTACATGTATCCGGCTGTTTTCACCACTACGCTTTCAGAAAAGTTTTGTTTACACTAACCAATGTATATATGCCATCAAGAGCAGATCAAACCTGTAGGTGGCGGTGTAGCGAGAAAGCTCAAGCCCACATTAGCCAATCAGAATCCCGAATAGCAGCAATAACAACAACAACAACAACAACAACAACAACGTCATCCCTCCATCCTTTCCTGCGCAAAATCTGCCGTCGGCTACCTAAAACTCTGTTTTCCTCTGATTTTCTCCGTTTACATGCAAACGTGCAAACTTTGTTTCCAAAAGCATCGTTTTTAGGGACGAATTCTCTGTTTGCGTCTAAACAAGGGTGCAAACGATGGTTAATGTCTCCGTTTTTAAAAATAACCGGGTACGTATAAACGGGGCCTCAAAGCTTTGCCTGTCTGGTCCTGAACATGTCATGGTAGCGTTTTCAAGCTAAGCTCTCGCCCTGCCTTCTTTTAACAGCCAAAAATTTACATGAATTATAAATATTTGAAAGGCTGTTTCTTAAAGCTCCTGTGAGGTGCTTTAGGTCTGTGTCCATTATGGCGCCCCCTGTGGACAAAGCACTCTTTGCTGAGTAGTGTCTTGACAAAAATGTCATCTGTCTGACTTTTGACTGAGAAATTAAGAATATTTTACATAGAAAATGGAAAAGTGGGGCTCACTTTGCCGCACGGCTGACACCTACCCTCCATCGTTTTGGTTTCAGACACTAAAAATTTAAGTTTTAAAATTCTAAATCTTGCTACAAATCATCTTGTTTACTTTTGTGTATCATAAAAAGGCACATATTTTAATTTTAGTTTATTCCATTTACATGAAAAATATCTTTACAGGAGCTTTAAACAGTTGTTTGGTCTGACACCTCCACCTCCTGAGCAGATTCAGACGTTAAAAATACTAGAATACAACTAAGTGTTTATCTTTTGGGTTGGAAAAATTAATCAGTGTCAATTTCAGTCTGTTTTGAAACCATTTAAAAAGTCCTGACAGGAGCTTTAATTCTGATCTGGACTGGTTCTGATTTACAGTCACTGAGGAGTCTGAACTATGAGGAATCCTAGGTTTTTAACTCAATGTCAGCGATGATTATATTTGAGCATCATTGAAGAAAACATCCCCCCAAATAAACCAATATCTGAGCATAAGTTACAGGACTCTGTTCAGTTTTCTCCTGATGAATATTCAACATTAACTGGACCGTTTTCTTGTGCGTTTATAAATAATATCAGGACTCAGTCTGGGGGCAAAATAAGGAGGGGGAGAGGAGGGAAAAAAGATGAAGAATGTGGGAAAAAATAAAACCCTGAAGAAAAAAAAAAAAAAGAGCTGAAGACGCTCAGAGGAAGATGATGGGGCTGGAGACTCAAAGAGAGAAACTGATCCACACACTGACTGGATGGGGAGATGGGTGAGGAGGAGGAGGAGAGAGGAAGGAGGGGAGCTTGAAATGAGAGAGATGCAGAGGATTTTTTTCTCTCTTCCTCTCCCTCCTTTTTTTTTTTTTACCCAGCATCCCTGGCTCGGGCACGTGTCACAGAGCGTGTTCATCACATGAAGTGTTCTCTCTCTCTCTCTCTCCGCCCACACACACACACATTCACACACACTCTCTCTCGCTCATACAAATCACTAGGGGGAAGCACATTCACAAGGATGAAGAAGAGGAGACCCTGCCTCAGTACAAACACACACACAGTGATGCATTTCATTCACATGTGTGCATGTTCCTCACCGTGAATGAAGCTTATTCCTATTCATAAAAAAACCACTAAATTATTCCCTTAAAATAATAATTAAAGCAGCTTCTGTGCTCTGATTGGCCCACAGCTTGTGTTGACATCTCACGCGCCTTAAATGTTTATTTTTGGAGTCGAATCAAACTCAACGAAATTCTTGCGTAAGTGCTGACCCGGGTCTTTGTCACTCCTGTGCGGCTGCTGATGAATGGCTGCATCCCTCTTATATAATAGCACCATTTTCTCAATAAACTCTGATGTCAAAGGAAGGGGGGGGGGGGGGGACTTCTAAGGCGCATGTCACATCCACCACCACCAGCAGCAGCAGCAGCAGCAGCCCCCACCCTCGCTTAAAAAAGCTCCCTTTGGTCTAATTTATTTCTCTGTAATGGAGTTTTACACACACGCAACAGAGCAGACACCGGCTCCCTTATATAATACAGGATGCTGGGGGGGCTGAGAGTGGAGGGAGCAGAGAGGAGAAACTGAGCTTTAACGCACGGTGAGAGCAAACGGAAGAAAAATGGAAAACAAATCATAAAAAATACTGTAAAAATGTAACCTGACGTTAAAACTAAACATTGAATATGCAAACTGAGTGACTTATCTCTATCTTGGGAACCAAATAGCTGCAAAAACAGCAGGAATCTCCTTTTCTTTACATGCATTTTAAAAACTAAACACTAAAATAAAGATTAAAATGTGTCTCCGTTTAGAAAAACAGAGCTGCAGACACGGAGATGGTGGTGATGGGGAGGGTGTGTGTGTGTGTGTGGATGCTCAGTGCAGTGGAGAGGCTGGGGAAGCCGCTGGATCTCAGGCTGCACTTCACCTGCTCTGCCACTAGGGGTCTCCTGCACTAAGAGGAAAGACCAGCAGAGGAACTCCCTCCTCTGTCCCCCTCAGCCTGAGAGCTGCAGCAGCAACAAAAACACGCAGAAACTCCAAACTACTCAGACTTTAACACTGACCTCACCTTGTAGGAGAGGAGAGGATGAAGTCTGATCTGATGGTTTGGAGCTCTGAGTTACCAGGCAGACTTTCAGAACCTGTTTGACCAGGAAATGACTGTGGTCTGCAGGTGTTGCGACAGCAGACGTGAGGATTACAAAAAGCACATGTTTGAGGGATGACACGCTTCTCCAAGAAAGCATGACACTCAAAAACCTAGTGTGGAAATATAACGTGAAGTTTAAGACTGATCACTGCTGCGTAAAAGTCAATAAAGTTTACATTTGGAGACTACAATTTGACTCCAAAGCAAGTTATGTGTGTTTCCTTTAACTATCTATTGAAAATAAAGCACAGAGTTGGTGTTCAAACTATAATATGTAAAAATTAAATCAAAAATCTGCAAAGTTTCATGACATTTATGAAGCCTGGAGCATTTTCCCACGATAAAAACAACAAGATTTAGTGCCAGAAGTTTGTTCCTGCATCTAACTCTCTCTATTCTTCTTAATAAACTATAAACATTAAAGAACAATAACTAAAGAGGAGGTTGAACAAGTTGTAACCGGTGTCTCTGTCTCCGAGTCAAAGGTGGAGACACGCAGAGAGAAGAACAAAATCACACCACCGTCAAAAACCCGGTCAGACCTGCACATCTGGTCCAACCAGCTGAGGAGGAGTACACCTCATCCTTAACACACACATCTCCAACCCTCTCACCACCTCCTCCTCTTCCTCCTCTCCTCTTCACCTGTTCCCTTCACGACCGTTGTGATTGAAAATTAACGTCAGACTCGTCAGACTGGTGGCACAAACTGGTTTCAGGGAGTGGCGTGCCAGTTCCCAAGGCAGAGATTGTCAGAATAATGTAACCGCGAGGAAAATCTGGAAATAGGTTACATTAACCCTTTGAAATCTACATTTTAAAACAGCAAGGATCACCAAAACTGGAAAACTGAGAGCCAACCTTTGAACCATTACACCTGAATTTAGAAAAAAGCCTCTTTGCTTCACTGGAATGATTTAGATTTCCTAAAAATGAAAGAGGGGGACCCCAAACGAGAGGATCTAGTGTTTCTGCAGGTGGAGATAACAGAGGGGGGTGGGGGTATCACACTTTCTATATGACCAATGGATGACGAAGCGATGAACAAGCGCATGACTCATCGGTGTGCACCGGTATTCCTCCGCATATTTCAGCACAATCTCAAAAATATGTACATTTGTCATTCCTGAAGCTTCTCCGCTTTGCGTCATGGTTTCTGCCCCCCTTTAATGGCGCAAAATGGATCAATTAAAACACCCAGTTCATTCATAAAAAAACACGATTTGGAGACAAAGTGCGTCACGGTGCAGATCAACCAACTGGTTATTTCTTAGAACATTAAAATCTTATTTTTAAAAGATATTCAGATGTAGAAATGAAAGACTCGGTGAGAAATTGCGCAGCGAGAGGCTCCAGACGCAGCAGTCTCCTCAAAAATAGGAGACTAGAGAACTGGGTCAAGCCATGGCAGGGCGATTCCTGAGAGACTAGAGGCTCTACTGACTCCAAATACGCGCAGATTTCACCATAAACCTGCTTCTATCCGCCCAAACACGATGAAAAAGTAGAGAAAGAGCAACTTTAAACAGAGAAACGTTATCTAACCGAATGTAGGGCAAACGGAGGATGATGTGACAAGAGAGCGACGACATGACAAACACCGGCTGAGGTCAAAGATTTTCAACAACAGAGACAAAATCTGAGACACCAAACTTGAAAAACAGAGGCTGGAAAAATGATGAAAATGTAGGTCACGTTTTAATTGGGCATGCGGGTCTGTCCTACATCATGCGGATGGACTAATGTGGTTCAGTGGAGCTCTGCCTGAGAGCTCACCCACATAAAAAAAACCCTGCTCTGTGAAAAAGTGCGCATAGCCTGCGCAATTTGGCTCCTGGCTCACCAATGTGGGGCATCCCCCTGCCCTGCTCCAAATGTGGGTGAAAAGGAGAAGCTGCTGCTGTTTGAGGGGGAAAAAAAGCTCCAATTGGACTAATAAGGAGAATGATCCTGCCGGTCAATCAGCTGCTTACCTGCGCCTGTTACGCAACACCAAATTAAGCCTCAAAAACGCACCAGAACCGACTCCTCTGTGAGCCAGAGTCAAGTTTTAGCCCCATAACCTCATTCTCTCGTCGAGTCCACCTGCCCTCTTCGTGACCGACATGTAGGTTGGCGTGAAATTTGATGTGACCCAACTCACCTGCCCATTTGCCCAGCTTCGGAGTCAGCAGCTGCCCGTTCCCCAAGACCCAGATCCTGAAGCCAGAGAGCAGCCTGTAGAGGAGCCACAGCGTCAGGGAGGCCACAGTGAACGCACCGACCCAGAAGAGAGGCGTCTCGGCCCTGCGGAGCGTCTCCTCAACGTTCATCCAGCTCATGGCAGCGGGTTCTCGGTGACTCGGCGTGTGTGTGTGTGAGAGTGTGTGTGAGCAGACCTCAATTTTAGGCAATGTGCTCTAATTTCCACAGCCACAACGTGAGAGAGAGTCCCTTTATAAGGAGGTTGTAGCATCACACACACACTCCCCCAACTCCCCCAACACTTGTCTAGCCTGATTTAAAGCGCACCGCCCACCTGCTACTCCGCCCCGCCCCTCTCTGAGGCGCACTGGCCGCTTCACCTGTCTCTCTGCTCATACGCTCTTTCGATTGGCGCATTTGCATGTCAATCAACCCCACGGCTTCCCCCATTCATTCGATTTTCTGTATGAAGCGGGGCGGGTCAAAGGGAGACCGGGATGAGCGGCGATTGGACGAACATTACGGCAGCTCCCATCCGGGGGCTCCTATTGGCTCTTCCCGGAGCAGGTTTGTCGGTTTCAGTCAGGATTATGAAACCCTCCAAACCCACGCTTTCGCAAAAAAACTGCCCACACCACTTTATGAATGAAAGGATGCTCTCATTGGTGAGAAATGCGCGCGTCTTCCCGCCCTTCGGAGAAAGATTGGAGACGTTTGATTGGCTCAGGTGGTGCCAGTCTGTGAGGTCAGCCTGCTCCCACCTCGCCATGAGTCACTCGTCTATTTTCAGGGTTCAGGCTGCATCATCCCGCTCTCAGCTCATAAGGAAAGCTGCAAACAGGCGCACAGAGACGCATCAGCGCTGAGATCTCCCCGCAAAACTCCTCCACTCTGCTGTCAGCTGCTGCATGCGTTACTGTGCGGGAAAAACTACAATCCCCAGCCTTAACTCTCCTAGCTCTCGCGAGATTTCCCACCCCCCATCGTAGTAAGTTCCTCATCCCAAACATTGAGGAGGAGGGGGGAAGAGATATGCTGCATGCGTTACATAAACACAGAGACAGGCATGTGTGTGTTCAACATCGCTTTATTCACATTTCCACGCACACTCATGACACAGTCGTGCTCACAGGCGCCGGATGCTGCCGCACAAACAGCTGTCACGACTCCCTCCCTCAGCTGTGTGTGTGCTGTCGACCCAGAAAGGCTCTTCTTTTTGCAACTATAGTCTCCATCACCCTCCAACCCCCTCCAGCCGCCATGCTCCCCGTCTCTCTCCCCTCACACTCGAACTGAACGAGAAATGCTGACAAACAGAAGCTCTGCTGCACAAACCGAGAGCTGTCATGTACTCAGCAGAGAGGCGAGAGTATAAAAAAGCGTCCAAACGCTGACAGTCATCCTGCAGCTGCTCTAATTCTTTGACACAAGTGGAGGGATCGAAGCCAACGTGACATGGAGGGGAGCAAGGAGCAGCAAGTTGTGTAACAAATTCAAAAGAGGGTGAAATTTACAGTAAATCCAACAAGATGTTTAAGAGTCACATTTACAAAAGTACAGGGAGGATATCTGACACAGTTTTTACAGAATGATCCGCAAAAAAATAACTTTACATCAGGATATTAGAGCACAATAAAACGACACTGGAAATCTAACAGACGTATTTTTACGCACAAACAATTACACAAACTTTCAGACTAAAATAAACAAACACACACATGAAGCATGAAGAGGTTGTACGTTTTTCCAGAGTAGAGTACATTTTTTTTCTACTGTATAGTCGTGTATCAAAGCTGTATATTTATATGTTTAATTAAAAAACTCACAGTCTGAAATATGGAGCTCATTTTTACGCACAAACATCAGCAAAAGAGTTCTCTCTAAAAATAGCACACACTCACACACACAGTCACACACGTGAAGCATGGAGAGGTAAGTTTTTTCAGGGTGTAGTACATTTTTTGTACTGTATAGTTGTGTATCATGGCTGTACATACTTTTAATTAAAAAACTCACAGTCTGAAATATGGAGCTCATTTTTACGCACAAACATCAGCAGAAATGTTCTCTCTAAAAATAGCACACACTCACACACACAGTCACACACGTGAAGCATGGAGAGGTTGTAAGTTTTTCCAGAGTACATTTTTCTCTTGTATAGTTGTGTATCATAGCTGCACACATATCGTTTCATTAAAAAACTCACAACCTATAATTTGGAGCTCATTTTTAGGCACAAATAATTACACAAACTTTCAGACTAAAATAAACACACAGACACAAACACACAGTCATACACGTGAAGCATGAAGAGGTTGTAAGTTTTTTTCCAGAGTACATTTTTGTACTGTATAGTTGTGTATCAAAGCTGTATATTTATATGTTTAATTAAAAAACTCACAGTCTGAAATATGGATCTCACTTTTACGCACAAACATCAGCAGAAATGTTCTCTCTAAAAATAGCACACTCACACACACTCACACAGTCACACACACTCCTTCACACACTGTACTGCTACGAGGGATTTTAAATGACATATTTTTTTTCAGGGGTCTCACAGTTTGTGCAAAATCATCAGATTAAATACAAAGAAATTTTCACACACTCATTCAGGAGATTTGGAGGATCCACCGTCAGGTCTCGGTCCTTCCCTCGCAGCCCAACAACTGGAACACACAAAACAGACAAGAGTGTGGGTTTAGTCGTGCAGAGCTCTCTGTTAAAGTTACTTTATATGTGTGTGTTTGTGTTTGTGTGTCAGTTTGTTTTTGGGTTTTAAACATTCAGATAAAATGCACGAATATAAACTATTCCTGTTTGTCCGCCTCCTCCTGTGAGAATATTTGAACCACAAACACGAAGAAGAAGAAAATAAATCAGAAATTTTCTGTCTCTTTTCTGCAGCTTGTGAAACAACTTTAACCAAAACCACACTCCCCTGTTCTCTCCTTTTTTCACTTTTATTGTGTGTTTGTAAAGACGAGAAGTTTGTTTGCTCCTCCCAGTATCGATATCCCTGAGCATACACACACACTCTCACACACACACTCACAAACACACACACCTACTCCCCTAAACTCCGCAACACAAAGCAGCTCCCACCTCTAAGTTTCTGCCCCCTCCTCTCAACACAAACACACAAACACACACTCTTTGTCCCACCTGATCAGAGTCAACACTGGCCCTGTTTTCTCCTGACACACACACACACACACACACACCGAGACCACTGTCTGTTACACACTGCAGCACAAAACATCAGTGTGATTGATCTCATTTTGACCTGAGAATTATCTTATTTAAATTCTAGTTTTTCTCCAAATCTACTAACGAGAAAATGAAGTTTTTCATCTGAACAAAACTTCGACTTTAAGGCATAAAATAGTCACGTAAAAGCAGCGTTGGACTCTTTCAAACTGCCAACACATCCTGACTTTTACAACAACAGTATTCAGGGAAATTACCTCAAATATAATCAGGTTTTCTCCGGAATTTTCTCAAAGGTTTCACGTGTTTTTGCTGTCCGCCTCTTCGGTGCTGAAACGCGCATTTCAGCACCACCGCAGTGGACAGCGACACACAGAAAACATCCCTTTAAAATATCAGAAATCTTTCACAGTCTTAATGATGGACGTCTGAGTCCAAACACAAACAAACACAGGACAGAGACAGAGACAGAGACACCTCCTTCCTCCTCATCCTCCTCACACAAATCTTCTCCTCACACTCCAAACTCTTGGTCACCTTCACGCCTCTCTAACACGGCACACATGAACCAACCCAAACATTAACTTTGACTTTTCAGCAGCAGAAACACACAGAGCATGGTGTCTCTTTCACAGAAGAAGCAAAAACGTCTGAATCGGACGATCTGAGACGATTACGCGCGACTTTTACGCGGGAAAAACTGTCCCAGTTGATCCACAGCTGACCCACAGCGGACCTCCTGAACTGACCCTCTTTGAGGAGCCTCTCTCTACTTCGTGGATTCATATTCAAGCAATAGAAAGTCTCCTTAAACATTTATCCACATGGCTTATAGTTTGATAATATTTTCATACACACCTCCTTCTCCTCCTCCTCCTCATCCTCCTGCTGCTCCTCCGTTTCTCCCACGACGTCCACGAAATTCCAGCAGCTGCTGCGTCTGAGGACAGAGACACGAAGAATAGCGGGTTAACACCAGATAATAAAACACAGACAAAAATACAAACATTAGAGGAATCACGTCTTTATCTGTTTTAATATGACTGAGATTTCAGGACATGAACATCAAGTGTGTGAATCAGCTGAGACGAGTTTTGATTTGGGACATTTCAGACTCTCAAAGTTCAAACAAACTTTATATAAAAAATATTCTTAAGTCTAAAAGAAGATGTCAGGGTCTCTTTTCTTACTGGATTCATTTATTTTCACATCATTTGTATTTTTATGTTTGTATTAAATGTCATTTTTTATCAGAAAGTTTTTCCTCTAAACTGAATTTGTGTAAATCTGCATTTTAACAAAATTGAAACTATAAAGCACACGTGTTTTTGTTTGTGGTTTGACAGGTAACACATGACTCACCTGTGTGTGTCTGCGTGTGTCTGTGTGTGTGTGCTGTCACACTGTCCTTTTTTATCCTGCAACACAAATAAAACAGACTCCCTTTAGAAACGAGCGTCAGCACACACACACACACACTCACACTCTCACAAAATGACTGAATGAAAACACACAGTGAGAGGAACACACACTCTGCTACGTGATTTGGAAACAGAGAGGCCAGCACACACACTCTCTCTCTCTCTCTCACACACACACACACACATGAGCAGACACACAGAAGCCCAAACACTCTCAGGTGTCAAGAAAATCTCTCCTTCATGTTCAGAAATATTAACTTAATTATTTTAAACATATGAAACACACACTGATGGACACACACTGATGGACACACACTGATGGACACACACTCCTCTTTACTGCACATTAAACACTGATACACTCCTCTTTTTATTGTCTGAACACACACTTCAAAACTCTGAGAAAACACACACAGACATACAGATGTGCACATACAGCTCCTCACACACACACTTCACCACATGTTACACAGAAAATACCAGCTAGTCAAGAACACACATCGAGCGAAATCACTGACGACAATCTGAACTGAAACATAATTTTTAAATCCTCATTTTAAAGATCCTGGAGTTTGTGATCAGGGTGTGTTTGACTCTGACAAAAGTTTTTCATCAGGTCTAAATTTCCTCTCAGAGATCATCAAAACAAGAAAGAGGAGATTTCAGTGTGTGTGTTTGTCTTAGTTTGAGCGTCAGAAGTGACAATAAACTCTTAAAAACACAAAACTAAATTCATACATGACTTAAAATTCAATCCTAAAACTGATTCTATGAAAGTTTACATTTTATTTTAAGGTTTTATGTTAAAAAATAACTCTAAAGACGTGATCTAAACACACACGTGTTTATAGCTGTGAAAGTGTGTGTGCCACTCCTCTCAGACATGTGTGTGTCTGTAAAAGTGTGTGTTATTTTTTTTCGCACTTAAACATCCTCAGACTTTCAGACTAAATCCGTCTGTTGGATGTCAAAAGTCACACAAAACTTACAGTAACTGATTCACACGCGACTTTAAAGTCGGTCCTAAATTATGTTTTAATTAGAGTGTGTATTCTCACTGCATGTGTGTTTGTTGTCACATCCAGATGAGGACTCAGTTTTGTCTCTATAAGGTGATTTAAATGTGAACACATGATTTTACAGATATTTAAAGTGAGTGTAAATCCTCTCAGGTGTGTGTTTTTAGTTTTTCTGCATTTATATGTTTTATGACAATAAAACTGAATCGTCTCTGATTGTTCTGAGTCACATCAGCAGAATACACACACACACACACACACACACACAAATAACAAAAACACACACACAAACAGACACACACAAGTGCATTAAATCATCTTAGTGTGTTGAAGTTTCCTCAGCTGAGATTTAGACGTTACGTTTGTCAGAAGTTGAGAATAACTCGGTCACAGGAGTCGGTCTTTAAATCGATAATATTAGAAAACAGATTTTTTTGTTTGCAGGATAAAAAGTCGAACAGACGTCTCTGCTGCCTCATCTGTGTCAGAGGATATAAGATCACACACACCTGTGCACGTCAAGTCATGAAGGTGTGTGAGTTTTTCTGCACATCTACATTTACGACAGTGAAACTGAAATATCTCTGATGTTCACAGTCGGTCATATAAACCAAACACAAATACACACTAAATCAGCCGTACACACACACACACACACACACACACACACAGCTGGTCTGATTTCTGATTTCTTATTTAGTAACACACTCAGACTCAGAAGAACCACGACTTTAATCTAAACACATGACACTTAAATAATGTTCAACAACTCTTATTAAAACAGTTCTTATATTTATCTTCAATTTGAAAAACTTGAAGTGATTTTCTACATCTAATCTGCAGGGTGTGATTTCATGATTTCATGTATAGAAGCCTCTACAGATGTGCAGGAGTGTGTGTGTGTGTGTGTCTGTCGTCTCTTCGCTGTTCACAAAACACTCATACAAGTCAGCAGACTCACACTTGAACACACACCCTCTCTGACAAACACACACAGACTTCAGGAGGGCTGAGAAGTGACTTTCTGTGGCGTCTGTATCACCTGGTATTTCTCTTTAAATGACGACTGATTAAGTTCACGCTGATGTCAAAAGTGCGACTGAAGTTTGGAGATGATTTCTCTGTCACACTCTGATAATCCTGCTAAATTAATCTGTATGTGGTGTGGATTTAACCTGAGATTACTGTGACCTACAATGGGTTAACTCAACTCACTGAACACCGATGACAGCGGACTAAATATTTCAGCTCTTTGTCGACTAAATACTCCAATTTACAGAGAATAAGTTCATATTTTTAAAGTGAGAGATGCAGTTTTAAAGAAATCTAACTTTCATGAAGGTTAAAGAGTTTAATTTGGATGTTTTAGGTCTGAATTTGTCTGAATGACGTAGGTGTGGCACTTATATTTCTTTGTTTTCTTCTACTTTTTGTTGTTATAGTTCCAGCAGACAACATCAATTTAAAACACCCGATTGCAATAAATCCAATCTGAATCACGACCTCCATCATGGACAGAAACTTTAACACAAATCTGATTATTACAGCTTTTACATGTTTGCAGTATTATTATCCGTCTATGTAGACTGTTCAGGTGCTTCATGATCAGACGTTTCAGTTGAACAGTCTGCAGATTAAATCCAGATTAAATCCTCACGCTCTCACAGACGTCAAAGGTGTTTCCTCCTCCTCCTCCTCCTCAGACTGGACCTCCTTTAGAGACCTCCTCTGATCATGTCCTCACTATCTAAAGAGTAATTATTCAAATATCTAACCATCTAAACATTTAGTGTTACACTACTTTATATTTACCTGAGTCAGTCAAACAGAGCTACAACACTCGTTCATTACTGGCTCACAGTCCAGGCTGGATTACCAAAGTAAGAGAGGCGCTCAGATTAACACAGACAGACTAAATCTAACCTCTCCCTCTCAATCCTCCTCCTCTCTCTCTTTTTCTCTGTTCTGTTTCTTTTCTGTTTTCCTCATATAAGAGATTTTTTTAAATGATCATGCCGTCTTAAGTACGGTCAGTTTTGGAGTATGGAGGCACAATTTAGCCTTTTAGATTAAAACCAACAAACGCCACATTTAACAGCAGTTTTTATCACAGGTTACAGATTTCTAACTCACCATCAGGATTTAAATCGCTCTGTAGTCCTCATTGGAGGATCACAGAAAGTAACCCACCGCACATTTTTTAGTCTAAAAGATGTTTAGTAGACGTCTAATGGTCCTCAGACCTCAGGTAGACCGGTCCTCAATGGGTCTACCACTGCTCTAAAAATAAAAGTTTTTTAACCGTCTAATAGACTAAACTACACTGTACATTCATCAATGACTGTTAGAAATGTTTTAATCCAACATTTGGCCATCATTGATACAATTTACAGTTGTTTTTTATTTAATATTTAATAATTAATGGATTAAAGTCAATCATCTGAAATATAGACTGATTATAGACGGTCAAATTTCTATCTAAACAAAGACGAGACGTCTAAGGCTCAGTGGTAACCCAGTTCTCTGTTTTCTAACCGGGCTCTTACTCGACCAGCCTCCAAATATCTAAACCCAAACAATCAAACCAGATCTCGAACCTGGATCACTTTAAAAACAGCAGGACTGGTTTAGTGTCATGGAGTCACTTTGAAATGAACCACCTCCTCACTGACACTGTGAAAACACTCAGTGGTACAGAAACATTCAGCGACATCTAGACATCTAGATTTGAGACTGAAATGCTCCCTTGCTCACCCCTTCCATTGATAAAACTATGGTGGCCTTCAAGGACAAAAAGCTCCTATTTGTCAAGTTTTTTAACCACCAAAAATGTCAACAATGAAAATCCCTCTGTGCACATAAACAACAACTTTAGCAGCTGCTATCTAAATACACAAACACGTATTTTACTAGTTTGTTTGTCCTCTGTTACCATAGTAACATGGTGGTCCAAGATGTAAAAGTCTCCTTAAACAATGTTTATATTTAAGTGATTACACTTCTCTATATACAGAATATGTCTATGAGTCTTTATTCTGCACATTAAACCTTTAAAAAGTTCATGTGTGTGTGTGTGTGTGTGTGTGTGTGTGTGTGTGTGTGTGTGTGTGTGTGTGTGTGTGTGTGTGTGTGTGTGTGTGTGTGTGTGTGTGTTTAGGTGTGTGTGTGTTTAGGTGTGTATTTTTGGACCATATTTTTGTGTTTATTTTGTTGTTTTAATTGTAAATCTGCAGGACAAACCTGGACATAAATCATATCAATAAATCTAAATTAAATTCATTCAATCAGGTTAAATTCAGGCTGTTGAAATAAAAATAAAGACCTTAAAAAGTTTACATTGTTGTATTAAATATAACACTCATCCTCAATCCTCTGATTTCTCTGCAGCTTTAACTTCTAATGAATGAAGATGAAAATGAAAAATTAGCCTCACTGTTTGTTTGTTTTCTTTTATTTGTTTAAAAAATCCTGCTGCAAACATCGTCTTCAGAGCGACATCAGGTGTGCTGTCTGCTCCAAACACTCTCCAAACAAAGTCAGAGTGAATTTTTATTCCTAAACAACATGTGATCGTCTTTCATTCATTAAAATCTCTGTTTGAGGTTTTCATGTTTTCTTACATTTATAAAAAACAGTTTCAAACATCCTGACAAAGTCTGAAAAGAGTCAGAAAGTTTCCCAAAGTTTCAGGACACTAACTCGCCGCTCGCCTGTTGGAGATGGTTTTATTTTTTTTACGACTCAGTGATTCATTTGCGGCTTGTTGAAACTTGACCAGCCGTCCCCTTTTCTTCGCTCCACCTTTCTGCTTGTCTGTTCCTTTTAATTTCCTTCCTTCACTCGCAGATACAGACCACACAACCTACAGAGCAACTTTACACAGGATTTACCAACATTTTCAGTCAGATTAGGTGAGATTAAACCATCAGTGTACTTTAAATCTGCATTAAGAAGCTTCTGCACCTCTCAGACTGTAACTTTTGGTTGGTTTGGATGTTAAAAGTTTTCTAAATTTGTGTTTGTCTGCAGATTTTTTGCTGATTTGGACTCGGGGTAAATCTCATTCACACTTTAGCAATCACAGGTCACACCCTTGTACCTTGTGGGTTTGGGATTAGACGTCTCCTTCTGGTTCAGAGGACTGGAGAGGGCGGGTGTGTCCCGTTCAAACCAGCCTGACTTGCAGGAGTTTCGGGTGCTTCTGCTGGGAAAAGGTGTTGGCTGATCCTGAGCTTTCTCTTTCTTTTTCCACCCGTCTGACCGCCTCCTCCTCCTCCTCCTCCTCCTCCTCCTCATTGTTCCTCTCTGCTTCTCTTTCCTCTCCACTCACGGGCGACATAACAGCTCCTCTGAAAACACAAAGTGACACAAAATTCCTCAAAACTCACGGAGCGTTCACATTTTTCTTTAAGAGGCGTGAGGAGTGAAAACAAACCAGTAAAAAGTCGTGAAAACATGCAAAGTGAGTTCTGCTGTTTCTATAACCTGGAGAAAGTATTGAACATGAACACACACATGCACAGACACACACACACACACACAGGTGGGAGAGGATCTGAGCAGGACCAGGACTCCTGTTCGAGGTGGGACTCGAACCGTGGGGGTCCTGCTTTGTTTAACCTCTCTGACCTGAAGGACAGACGGGCAACAGTGACGCTCTTTAAGCAAGACATTATAAAGAGACACACTCTTACACACTCTTACACACACTCTTACACACACACACTCTTATATATGTGTACATTAAAGAGGGGTCAAAGTACAAAAACAAAAAAACCAACAAAGAAATAAAACAAACTCATGAAACTGCAGATTTAATCTGATCACTCCTGAAACATGAAGAATGAAGATCATGTGTTGAATAAAATGACGCCTCATGATCTAACAGTGACAGTATTTACTATCACACACACACACTCACACACACAAACTTACTGACACACACACTCGGTTACACTTTAATCCTTGCTGCTAAAACTCCTCCACATACATTTTTTGTCTTTGTGTAAAAACTTTCTCTGAAATTTAAAGATTTTAAATGTTCAAATAATTTCCTGCAGAATTTAAACCGAATTGGTTTTAAATTATAATCCCAGTTTTTCTGTGTGTGTGAGATGAGAGGATTAAAACTGAACCAGCAGATCTGAATCAGACTCTTACAGTGAATTGTGTGTGTGTGTGTCATTTATTTACTGACGTCTTTATTTCAAACATATAAAAACTTTCAAACAGACGCTCAAGAGTCAAACCTGTTTTATAATCCAAACCCAGATTACACTTTGACAGAAAAGAGGGAGAAACTGATTTAATCTTGTGTTTTTTTTATATGCTGGTAATTTCTAATTTCACTGTAATCCTAAAACTGTCTTATATGTTCATCATGTCCTCATAGAGATTAATATAGATATAGTCTCAGTATAGATCTACAAGAAGTCCTCACACACACAGCTGATCACACACACACAGCTGATCACAGTCTGATCAATATTAATGATTTGAAACCTCAGCTGCTCCTCCTCCACCTCCTGAACTTTTCATGTCTCTTTCTAAACTCGATTATCAAACCAAACACTCCTCTGAAATCATAATCCCGTCTCTTTCAAAGACTGCAGATTATAGTAGATTATATATTTATTATCATCATTATTATTATTTGTATCTACAAATGTAAAGACGGCACAAACAGTCCAAGCCACGCTTCTCCAAGACAGAGTTCAAAAAGCAGCACAAACAAAAGAAGAGCACAGAGTCCCCTATCAATAAAAAAGTAAGTAGAGAAAACTAAAGAGCAGAAATCTGCAGCAGGAGGATTTACGTCTGATAAACTCTGTCAGATCTGTCTCTGTGTCAGATCATTTCTCCAAACCACAGATCTAAAGAGAGCTCAGAGTCTTTTCTCCAAACTTTTAATGAAATAAAATCTGATTTTATAATCAATATTTTAAATAAAACAACATTTTTCAGACTGATTTACAGATCATTCCTTGTTTTAGATATTATTTGTGTTTAAGTCTGTATCTGTGAAGCTGCAGGTTCTCTCCTTCTTTATAAAATAAACATTTCTCTTTATTTTGTTGTTTTTTGTTGATTTTTCTTCTATTTTTACCTGCATGAGTTGTCATGTATCATCAAACTTAAACAGTTTTTACCACTTTATAAAACTACTTTATTAAATCCTTCAACTTTCCTTCATTTTAAGTCTAAATTTGCACTTTTTTTCTTACACCTGCAGAGTTTTGGATGCTGGTATATATATCCTAGATGATAGATCTAGTTTTTGTCCTTCAGGTTTGTTTGTTTGTTTGTTTGTTTGTTTGTTTGTTTGTTGTTTTTTAAAGAAGTTATTGCATGCTTCAACCACACACACACACACACACACACACACACACTCACACACTTTATATTTTATTTACTTTGTCTTTTGAGTGTTTGTGGAAAACCTGCAAACTTCCTGAACCTCATCTCTTCAACAAAATTACACTTATTAGCAGCGTTTGAGTCGAACAACTTTACCTGACAAACTGATGTGCAGGAGTTTTACATTTGCACACCTGTCCTGTCGAATACACGTGTGAATCTCTTTTTTTTAATCAGAACAAAGCTGCTAAATCTCCTCTGGGGTGTTTTTTTAACGTCTCCTTTAACCAACAGATCTTTCTAAAATACCACAAATGTTCATTTCTGAGAGTCTGAAGCCCTCTAAGAGTCTTCACTCTGCCTGTTGGACTCTGATGTTGGACTCTGCCTTCAGCTGTACAGTCAGCCATTTTCCCTTCAGACAGGAGGAGCTTCAGTGAAGCTGCTCTGTGAAGGAAAAGAGGTTTTCTTTTCACTCCTACAGACGGAAACGAAGGAAACACATCCAGACGAGGGAAACAACAACAGCCGTGACACTACAGGATCATTTTTATCTTCCATCATCCTGGTATTTCTAAGTGGAAAAGCCTCAGAGTGCTGTCAAACAAAATGGCTGACCTGCATCTCCAAGAAGAATGAGACAGAAATGAGAGGACAGAGTGTTCAGATGAACAGAATCACATTTTAACTCGTCTTTGAATCATTTATCAGCGTTTTTAAAAACAGCTGATCAAACTCAGACAGTCTGGATGTTTGTTTCAGGTTCAGAGAGGGTTGGTTTATGTTTCCTGTTCAGGCTTATTTCACCTCTAAAATAAAGATAATTTCCTTTTTTCTCCTAAACCAAAACAAAGTCTACAGCATGAACACTCGTTAAAGCTCCAGTCAGGAGTTTTTATATTAAAGTAAGAATGAGACTTTCGGCTGTGAGGTGAGTTATTTCTATACAGTTGTTATCAAAGTCTGGAAACACAGCTGAGAGTGGAAACAGGTGAGTTTTAAAAACACAAAGATTCTCACTGACTGATTTAATAAAGTGTTTTTCTTTAAAAAACAGGAAATGTCGTTTACACACAGGGCAGGGGCGTGTCCAGATGTCGGCATCAGGTGGCACAGACCAGCCTCAAAATCCCAAACAGACGGGACTTGTCTAAATGACGGTTGTTATTGTCAGGCTGTGTTACAATTTTATTAAGTCTTCACGGACTTTGGAGTCGAAACTTAAAGAGCTCCCCCTACTGACCGCATTAAAGGTCATAAACTGACCTAATAAAGTGTGTCATATCATAGTGTGATTTCAAATCTATGTCTGATTGACAGCTCTGTTAACGAATGAGGCTCCTGCAGTTATCTGTGCCGGATTATCGTAGCAGAGAAAGAACCGTGACATAAACTAACACAACTATCCATAACTGTGAGTGTCTTCTTAAAACCAAAACAAGAACCTGATCTGCTGTGGACTGGATCCACCTGAGGGGTCTTAGATGTTTTATTGGTGAGGTGATTGAGTGTCTGGATTAGCAGAAAGAGTGAAACATCACCAGCAGGTTACTTCTGCACCAGATCTTTCTATGGGTGGAAATGAAGGGAGGTTGTATCATATCATACAATTATCGTATTGTATCATGATCATATTGTTATTGTATCGTGTCATTGTATCGTGTCATATTGTCACTGTATCATATCATATTGTATCATTATCGTATCATATCATTATCATATTGTTATCATATCCTATCGCATTGTATTGTTATCATATCGTTATCATATTGTTTATTGTATCGTTATCATATCATTATTGTATTGTATCGTCTAGTATCATATTGTTTTGTATCATATCACATCATATTGTTATCATATCATTATTGTATTGTATTGTATTGTATTGTATTATCATATCATATTGTTATCATATTGTTATTGTATCATATTGTTATCAAAACATCATTTCATTATCAAACTATATTGTTATTGTATCAGATTGTTATCGTATAATAACGTTATCGTGTCATATTGTAATCATAACGTTATCATAACATATCGTATCGTTAATGTATAATATTGTTATCACATTGTTATCGGATCATATTGTTATCATATCATATTGTTATTGTATCGTATAATAACGTTATTGTATTGTACAGCTCAGTCCTTTTTAATATTAAGTGTGGGATGGGGGGATGTTAAGCTGGATATTTCACTGAGACAAATACACTCGTAAAAGTGAGGTTGTACGAATCCAAAACAGTTTCTTCATTAAGATACTGTTTAATATTTTAAAACCAGGTTTTTATTTGCTCGCTGTCGTCTTGTTTAAAGCAAAAAGCTGATTCAGGTCAGAGGTCAGTCAGATCTGTGCTGTTTAGACAAAATGGGAATTTTTGACCAATTCTGTGATGAGAAAACTGAAATATCAGCATGTTTACATACAGAGAGGGGTACAGCTGGTGAAGGAGGAGTCAGGAGGAGTGAAGGTGATTCTTTTAACAGAAGAAGGATTAGAGAGAAATTAAAATGTTTGTTTCTGAAACCAAAAATAATTCAATATTTGGTCATTAACTCTGATTTTTTTTTCTACCTAAAGATTTAAAATGTGTTTCCTGTTTAAAATCAGAACAAATCACGTCTAAACTCGAACACATCACAGTCACAGGTGAGTTTTTTCAGCTGGAAGTCAAACAGGAAAAGAAAAGACAATTTAAGTTTCACCTTATGTCCACATTTTGTTTTAATGATCTTCATCGGGTTGTTTTTAATCCTGACTCACGACTGTAAACTCTAATATACCTGCTGCTGATTTATCTGTGTGTGTGTGTGTGAGTGTGTGTGTGTGTGTGTGTGTGTGTGATGCTCTGTCTTGTGTTGTTGTTCAGTTTATTCAAAGTTTTCTTATAAAACTGTGTGAAGGTTTTAATTATGATGCATTAGATAGTTAAATT